GGTAATAGAAGTTGGTTGATTTATAGCTATGAGGTAGTAGCGGGGAGGTGGCGATAGGCATAAAATGAAAGATACTTGATATATATGTGTATACTATTCTAGAGTAAACATGTCACTTTTGGTGGCTCTAGCTCTTATTATTTACCCAATTTAAGTTATCGATTATCGGAAGCAAACTCGATCTGCGCATGGACTAAGATCCTTGCGTTCATACATTCGGACGGACGGACAGGCAGACGGACATGGCTAGATCGACTCGGCTGTTGATGCTGATCAAGAATATATATACTTTATGGGGTCGGAGATGCTTCCTTCTGCCTGTTACATACATTTACATTTTGCACAAATACAATATACCGTGTTTACCCATCAATGGGTTAAGGGTATAAAAACCCCCAATGTAGATTCATATGTATTCACGAAATACTCGTTTCCTTATGCAGCAAAACAATATTTCAAAGCCAGCGAAAGCATAAGCCTCACGAAACTGTTCCATTATACAAATATTCTATATGAATTAATAGAATCGTTCTCCAGTGACCGCAACGACCCTTGGACAATGTTGTGCCGCCCAATGCATATAGGCGGATTTTGAATTAATCTTAAGAGGCCATTTCGTGACTATGTGATTCCATATATGCACCATTCGAGAGGACTTAGTGCGGGCTAGCGTTTCAGTCGAGTTCTCCGGCTTGAAAAACAGTTGCCACTGCGTCCATGGTACCTCGTAAAATGCGTTAACATCGAACACTTTAAAGCCCAGACACCGTTTCCGATTATTCACCATGAGGGTAACATTATTCGTACCACAAATCTCTGACAATACGCGCACTAAGCCCATCGGTCCATTGTGGGCCCACGCATCACCCTTATAATTAACATGAAAGTCCTGCAGAAATAATTCGCCAAGCTGATGGCCAAATCCATTGGGCTCCAAACTTATAACACTGTTGCCAATGCTATCTGATGTCTCGGCACCTGCATAGTTTAGTGGCTCATCCTCCAAGCTGTGGAGCTGCAGGACATCCATGTCCAGGTAGACGCCGCCAAAGCGATATAGTGTTATTAATCGGAGTAGGTCAGAAAGGTGAAATATCAGATATCTAAGTAGATAGATAACACAGAAGTCAAAGAAGAAGCTAAATTATAATGAAAAACTATTTAAACCTTGATGTATATAGATCGCCTTTCTTGACCCAATCCGCGATGGGCGTATCCTCTGCATAGCGATCCAGATTTAGCGATCGAAAGTGCACATTTTTGTAGCTTTGAAGGGCATCAATGATGGGCATTGATTTGTTACGGTGGGTGGGGCAGGCAAACAGAACAAATACTTGGAAATTTGGATTATGCAAGGCGGCAGATTCGATGGGACAGGCCTGATGCGCCTTAATTCTACTCATTTTGTAATGGGTATATGAACGATGGCAGCTATTCTCAATAAAAAATATGGTTCGTCCTGGCGGAGGTTTTGAACTGGACAAAAGAATATCCTCTATAATTATAGGCACCGGTTCCTCTGGAAGATTTATCTTCAACAGCTCCGCGTGCTCTGGTTCTGAGTCTAGGTTTTCCCGTTCTGTTTTCTCTGTAGACTTTTCATAATTATGTTTCGTGAACGCAGGAGTATCCTTAATTTCCGTAAGAACTTTTCTCCAAGTTGAGGTCGAGGACAATATACTGAAAATGAAGGCAACCGCAACAAGAACCGCTAAAAACAGACGCCGTTTATAGCCAAGATAAGGCAACAGTCCACTTTTTAGGCGTACGAACATGACGATGCTGGCCGAAGGTACAAATGAGACTGACTAGCAATTTAATAGCCAAAGCATTTTACAATTCGATGTAACAACCATGAAAGTGTATTCAGCTGGGTCAATTTAAACAAATAGACTTGGCGGTTTTCTATTTGTCGACGTTACAAGCTTAAATGCTGTAACAAATAATCTATGAATACATATCTCTATATATAAAACTGTTTGTCCTGACTGACTGACTATGACTATGACTATGGGGCATTTGCTCTCGAATAACTTCAGTGTTTATTTGCCGAGCTTTATTTTCTGGATAATTAAACTGCATACGAATGTATGTCAAGTAAGCTCAAGGAATATTCATGCTTAGGTGACTTTTTGGAAGTACCTAAAAGGTACCTAAAAAGTGAAATATTTTACATCTGTGTTACAGACTTTAACTCAATAGTTCCACAAGAGCAGCATAATTATCAAAAAAGTGCCGATTTAAGGCACTAAAACTAACGTTTAATAAATAATCTGACCCATCTTCGCGAAAAAAGCGTGGCACCCACATATATTTGATCATTTCCTATGACAGCAAATGACAATATAAATATTATATCTGCTTATTGATGAATAGCACGTGTATATATGTTTTCATATGTATTCACAAAATATTCGTTTCCTTTTACAGCAAAACAAGATTTCAAAGCCACACCATACATAAGCCTTATAATTGAGTTTGGCTGTTTGTATTTTAAAATTGTTAAATGTTGAAGAAAATTTGATTTCAATGATGTGGAAAACCATGTTCACGAACCGCACCTTAAATAATAAGCTATACTAACGGAATTTGGTTAGGCTTGCATCCTTGTTAGAATCTTATGGGTATTGCAGATATGATAAATAAGACTCTTCCCGTTAATTATGCGCTGATGATCGTAGACTTTACGTGTACCTATTCAAAACGTAGTGGAATTAGAAAGTGTATAGTTTCAGGCTGTCGAAAATTAGAAACACTTGCAGATAGATACTTTATTTTCTTCTTTGAAATCAGGTATACGACGCCATAATTAAAATCTTTCAAAATTGTCAAGCGTACCTAAGTGTAAATTAAATAGCATTTTTTTTGTTTGCGTTAAAAGCTGAAATGTTCTGGAATTCCTTTCAAATGTTGCAATGTAGAATGGGAATTATTTAAATACGCTGTTATATGCTGTTTACACGCTGTTCAACGCTTTTTTATATATGTTTTTTTTTCACTTTCTTTATAACACGGTTTTCTGACAGCAAATTGTACAATAATTTAAGTTGTTGATTAAAGTATTTACGATCAAGAAACAATTTTTCTTAAGACTTATCCGCCTAATAGAATAATTCTCCCGTGGCCGCAACGACCCTTGGACAATGTTGTGCCGCCCAATGCATATAGGCGGATTTTGAATCAATCTTAAGAGGCCATTTCGTGACTATGTGGTTCCATATATGCACCATTCGAGAGGTCTTAGTGCGGGCTAGCGTTTCAGTCGAGTTCTCCGGCTTGAAAAACAGTTGCCACTGCGTCCATGGTACCTCGTAAAATGCGTTAACATCGAACACTTTAAAGCCCAGACACCGTTTCCGATTATTCACCATGAGGGTAACATTATTCGTACCACAAATCTCTGACAATACGCGCACTAAGCCCATCGGTCCATTGTGGGCCCACGCATCACCCTTATAATTAACATGAAAGTCCTGCAGAAATAATTCGCCAAGCTGATGGCCAAATCCATTGGGCTCCAAACTTATAACACTGTTGCCAATGCTATCTGCTCTCTCAGCTCCTGCATAGTTTAGTGGCTCATCCTCCAAGCTGTGGAGCTGCAGGACGTCCATGTCCAGGTAGACGCCGCCAAAGCGATATAGTGTTATTAATCGAAGTAGGTCGGAAAGGTGAAACATCAGATATCTAAGTGGATATCACGTAAGTCCGAGTAAAAACTAAATTATGATAAAAAATAATTTCAAACCTTGACTTAAATAGATCGCCTTTCTTTAGCCAATCCGCGATGGGCGTATCCTCTGCATAGCGATCCAGATTTAGCGACCGAAAGTGCAAATTTTTGTAGCTTTGAAGGGCATCAATGATGGGCATTGATTTGTTACGGTGGGTGGGGCAGGCAAACAGAACAAATACTTGGAAACTTGGATTATGCAAAGCGGCAGATTCGATGGGACAGGCCTGATGCGCTTTAATGTTACTCATATTGTACTGGGATCCTGAACGGTAGCAACTACTCTCAATAAAAAATATGGTTCGTCCTGGCGGAGGCTTTGAGCTGGACAATAGAATATCCTCTATAATTGTAGGCGCCGGTTCTTCCGCATGCTGAGGTCCCGAGACAAATGTTTCCCGTTTATTTTTCTCTGGAGTATCCATAATGTTTTTAAGAAATTTTCTCTCATTTAAGATCAAGATCATTGAACTGTAAACGAACACGACACAAACCACGATCACTAATACCAGATGTCGTTTATTGATCAGATAGGGCGACAGCCTACTTTTTAGACGCGAGAACATCATGATACTGAACGAAGGCAAAGACAAGACTAACTTACTGTTGCATCGGTATGGACAATTATGGTCCATGTGACGATCGAAGTAACTTTTTCAGCTGGGTCAATTTAACCATTTTTTGGTCTGCTATTTTTTTTTTTTTTGTATTATTTGTAGACGCTAGCTACGTATTTCAAAAGAAAGAAAAATTAAACCGAACGCCCACACACACATATATATAATTGTAAATATTATTTGTATATATATACAAGAACATGCATAACATGTTCTGTGTATCTAGCTGCTATATTTTGGAACTGGCATATGTGTATTTACAGATATTTTGTGAGTGGAAGGAGATTAACTGGAACTACGTATGGTATACGATTGTATGTATTTCTACAAGTTACCCTGAGTCCACAGTCTAGGTGACCTTACATACATTCGAACATTCTTCTCCGGGATTTACTATTTACTCAGCTTTTTTTTCAGCTACGTCAGTTCCAAATTTGAAGGTAATAAAAACCAGGGCAGAAACCCAACTTTTACCGAACCAGTTCGAACCAAAAAATTTGCCCAAATTTGTCACATAATTATTCAGAACTAATTTGATTAAATAGCTCTTGCAATATTTCCATTATAATAAATGATACTGTTTAATCTTTATTTAATCAAGATCTGTTCTGACTGATGTGGAACACTAGATTCACGAACCGTTCCAGCTATAGTTTTGTTGGGTTTACAGCCGTGTTAGAATCTTCTAAATAAGAAATAAGTTCCAAAAATAGTGGAAATCAAGATTGGCCAGAATGTTTGTAGAACATACGAAACTAATTGGGTTAAGCTAAGAGTGGACGTATTGACAAGATCCATGTTGCGCGCAAACTTAACTTATATACCTGATTAGACGGGTTTTGGGGCTGTCGAAGATAAGACAAAATTGAGGACAAATAAAAAATTATCTTCTTTAAAATTAAGTTATACGACACCATAGACCTTGTGCAAAGCAATTAGAATTTGTTTACTCATCCTACACGATAAATAGTTTTCGTGTATCTCTCAAATGTTCAAATAATAGACAACTTCTGCGATATTTTTATTACCAAGAGTGCTTCAATTATGCTGCAATCATTCCTGAAAGAATATACCCAAGGCATCAATTGAAAACGAAATGTGAGAAATTTCACCTGGCCTAATCAAATAGTTCCCCCGCGGCCGCAAAGACCCTGGGACAATGTTGCGCCGCCCACATCATATAGGCTGTGATTGAATCAGTTTGAAGGGGCCATTCCGTGACTACGTGGTTCCATATATGCACCATAATCGAGTTCTCAGTGCGGGCACGCACGAAAAGCGCGGTCTCTGGCTGGAAAAATAATCTCCATTCCTGCCAGGGGACCTCGTAAAATGCGTTAACATCGAACACTTTAAACCCGTGACAGCGTTTCTGATTATTCACCATGAGCGTAACATTTTTCGTACCACAAATCTCTGACAATACGCGCACTAAACCCATGGGTCCATTATGGGCCCACGCGTCGCCCCTATAATTATCCTGGAAGTCCTGCAGAAATAACTCGCAAAGCTGATGGCCAAAGCCATTGGGTTCCAATCCTATAACACCGTTGCCGATGCTATCTGCTCTCTCGGCACCTGCAAAGTTTAGTGGCTCTTCCTCCAAGCTGCGTAACACTAAGACATCCATGTCCATATAGACGCCGCCGAAACGATAAAGTGTTATTAAACGGAGTAGGTCGGATAAGTGAAACATCAGATAACTAAGTGGTATATAAATCAAATCAGTAGCTAAATTATGATGGAAAGTAATTTCAAACCTTGACTTAAATAGATCGCCTTTCTTTAGCCAATCAGCGATAGGCGTTTCTTCTGCATAGCGATCCAGATTTATCGACCGAAATTGCACATTCTTGTAGCTTAGAAGGGCATCAATGATGGGCACTGATTCGTTACGGATGGGGCAGGCAAACAGAACAAATACTTGGAATTTTGGATTATGCAAAGCGGCAGATTCAATGGCACAGGCCTGGTGCGCTTTTATGCTACTCATATTGTACTGGGATCCTGAACGGTAGCAACTACTCTCAATAAAAAATATGGTTCGTCCTGGCGGAGGTTTTGAGCTGAACAGTAAAATATCCTCAACAGCTGTAAGCTTTCCATTTGAAGTCAACGATTTTATACTGAACACGAGCACAACAGCTACGAGGACCGCCAATATCAGACGTCGTCTACAAATCAGGTAAGTCGATAGATTACTTTTCTGGATTAAGAACATGAAGTTGCTGAATAAAATAACGACACAACTAACAAATATATTTTAAATGTAAAGTAATGATCATGACAGCTTATTTAACTCGGGAAATTTACACATTTTTTGCGTCCGCAGAATTATATTTGAAAACCGAGGATCCTTCAGCGCTATTACAAACCGTTATAAGCAATCAATTTTCTTTTATTAAACATATAGAGATACACGAATACACATACATGCTAAGCTATCGATGGCACTATCGATACATCGAATTTCATCTGCTGTGTTCGCTATCGATGATTGGCCATCTCTGTTATTTCTTTTGCTTACAAATATTTTATTTGAGTTCGAATGCGAACTTTCATCAATTAGAAATAATCACCAGCTGCCGCATAGACCCTAGGACAGTTCCTTTCCGCATATATCCCAAGGGCCGTGCTAGAGCCGACTCTGATCAACCCTCTATAGGAAGCCTTGTTCCATAAATGTATTAAATAAGAATCTTTGGTAATTGCCATTGTGTCCTCCAAGTATTTCGGCTCAGTAAAATGCATCTACTGGGGCCAGCCGAACGGATAGAAAGCGGTAGAGTTGAATACTTTTAACCCCTGGCAACTTATCCGACCTTCTTCAATTAGTTTAACAAGGTTGTCGCCACAAAGCTTTTTTACAACGCGTGTTACAAGAGCTGGTCCATTTTGTACATACTCCTTTCCATTATAATTTTTTTCGTAATCCCGCAAAAACATTTCTGCAATCTCATGGCCCTTGCCAGTGGGTTCTAGACTGATGACGGCATTGCCCAAAGTGATATTGTCATGAGCACCCACATAGTTCAGTGGCTCGTTTTCCAAGCTTCGCAGCACCACCACGTCCATGTCCAGGTAGATGCCACCAAAGCGGTACAGGCTTATCAGGCGGAGTAAGTCGGCTGTATGCTGCATCGGAAAGCTGAGTGGAATATACGTCAACTAAAGTACTCACCAGAGGAAAAGTAATATCGACTTACCTCGAGTTAAGTAGATCACCTTTCTTTATCCAATCCTCAATAGGAGTGTCTCTCGCATAATTTCCTATGTTCAAATGACGAAACCGCACATTTTTATAGGTCTCAATTGCATCGATGAGGAGTTTTGGCCACCGGACAGAGGACGGTATGTGGGACAGGTAAACAATACAAACACTTGGAAAATTGGATTATTCAAGGCGGCGGATTCGATAGCACAGGCTTGTCTTGCCGTCATATTCATTACATTGAACTGCGAAACCTGATGATAACATGTGGTCTCGTGGAAGAATATAGTGCGACCTGGCGGAGGTCTTGAGCTCGAAAGTAGAACATCTTCTACGAAAAACTTATTTAAAAGTATTCCTACGTTGTATGCAGTTGACCGCTCCTTGATTTCGCAATTTCGATAAAAAAGCGTCGACATGTCCTGTGTTGTGTATGTTACAAGAAGCACTACCACACTTACGCCCAGGATGGGTAGTATCAGACGTGACCTTTGGTTCTGTAAATCCTTCAGCAGCTTCTTTTGAGTTACGAACATGTTGCTCCGGCCCAGCTATACTTATGCCACTTACTAAGCTAATCTTTACTGTGCCCATTTTTTTTGTTCAGTATTACGATCGTAACGAATAAGTTTACTCAGCTGCATCAATTTAAATGAGGTTGAATAGAAACTATTGCATTGTATGTAATCTATGTAAAAAAGTTCTTGTTACATTATTGAATGTGAATAAATTTGACAGTGATAGTAACACAGTACAAAAGATACATACAATGTGATATTAGCACTGAGTTCTTTAATTGCAAAACAAATTATTATTTAAATAATAACGATAGTTTATTTTAAATTTTACATACGATGATAAAATATTAAGTTCGATAAGATACTCGATATCAGGATCGATATGCCAAACGAGCTACCTATGAAATGGGCTTAAAAATACCAAAGATGCTCTGCTTCTTGACACATTTTTTTTCATAAACTGGTAGCACCACGCAGCAACATTGTGAATGACAAAACGAAAGAAGTGTAAAAAAATTGTTAAAATTTGCAATTGTGAAAAGCATCAAATTGGCTGCCGCAACAATACGACCGGTACTCGTACCAAACGTTAAATCTATTAAATCATATAGCAAAATAGTGAAATGAATGTTCCTCCTAGCGCTGGCAATGGCAATGCAGCGATGCCGATGCCGCCAGCCGCCGCAATGGGCGGCATGGGATACACGCACACGCCGGGAATGGTGCCAGTGCCACCATTCAATCTGCCGCCGCCCGGCTTTGGTGCACCGCCGCCACCGGAACTAGCAGCCGCATTTGGTGCCCTCGCTTCAAATACGGAGTGGACCGAGCATAAAGCGCCGGATGGACGACCGTATTACTATAATCAAAATACGAAGCAGAGTTCATGGGAAAAGCCGGAGGCGCTAATGACGCCAGCTGAGCTACTGCACAATCAGTGCCCCTGGAAAGAGTATCGCTCTGATGCAAACAAAGTGTATTATCACAATGTGACTACAAAGGAGACGTGCTGGGAGCCACCGCCAGAGTATCTTGACATGAAGGCCAAAGCCAAGGCGGAGGAGTAAGTATCTGTTGCCGTTATGCCAAAACACTTTGCTGAAACAAGAAACGCGTATTCTTGCAGAGCAGCCGCTGCGGCTAAAGCCGTTGCCGCCATGACATCCTCGAGCCTAGCAGGTATGGTTCCGCATGTTGCATTGGCCAATATTCTGCCAGCTGCGTTGCCCACAGCGCCGCGTATACCCACGCCTGAGATACACTCACCCCTGACACCAAGCAGTAATGAAAATAGCTCCTCAGCAATGGATCAGGCAATGGCAGCCACTCTAGCGTCCATCGAGGTACCACAACAGAATGGTGAGTAGCCAGAGTACAAATTTAACTAGGCCTTTAACGATTTTTTGTCATTTTAGCTAAAAAGGAGGAGAAATCTAGTGGCGAGAACAATACGCTGGTTTTTAAAGATAAGCGCGAGGCCATTGAGGCGTTCAAGGAGCTACTGCGCGATCGAAATGTGCCCTCAACTGCGAACTGGGATCAGTGCGTCAAGATCATATCAAAGGATCCGCGTTACAATGCCTTCAAAACGCTAAACGAACGCAAACAAACTTTTAATGCATACAAAACACAAAAGCTGAAAGATGAACGCGAGGAGTCGAGATTGCGTGCCAAAAAGGCTAAAGAGGATTTGGAACAGTTTCTCATGTCCAGCGATAAGATGAACTCACAAATGAAATATTTTCGCTGCGAGGAAGTTTTTGCGAACAATCGCACGTGGACAACGGTACCAGAACAGGATCGAAGAGATATCTACGAGGATTGCATCTTCAATTTGGCCAAGCGTGAGAAGGAAGAGGCTCGTGTGCTCAAGAAACGCAATATGAAAGTACTTGGTGAGTTGCTAGAATCAATGACATCCATTACGTACGCTAGCACGTGGTCGGAGGCGCAGGTAATGTTGCTGGACAATGCGGCGTTCAAAAATGATGTCACGCTACTCGGCATGGACAAGGAGGATGCGCTTATCGTATTTGAGGAGCATATCCGTACGCTTGAGAAGGAGGAAGAGGAGGATCGAGAACGGGAAAAGAAACGTTTAAAACGACAGCAACGCAAGAATCGTGATGGCTTCCTCGCTTTACTTGACTCGCTGCATGAGGAGGGAAAACTCACCTCTATGTCGTTGTGGGTGGAACTGTATCCAATTATATCGGCGGATATACGTTTCTCTGCCATGCTGGGTCAGAGTGGCTCCACGCCACTTGATCTTTTTAAGTTTTATGTTGAAAATTTGAAGGCACGCTTCCATGACGAAAAGAAGATCATACGGGAAATACTCAAAGAGAAGCAGTTTGTTGTCCAGGCGAAGACATCTTTTGAGGACTTTGCCACCGTTGTGTGCGAAGATAAACGCTCCGCCAGCTTAGATGCCGGCAATGTAAAGCTAACTTACAACTCGCTGCTAGAAAAGGTAAACTAATGTCTAAAAACCAACTGCTGACCTATTTAAGAAAAATATATGTACTTATTTACTTTTAGGCGGAAGCCATTGAAAAGGAGCGCATGAAGGAGGAGGTGCGGCGCTTGCGAAAATTGGAAAATGAAATCAAAAATGAATGGCTGGAGGCAAATGTGTCCGTGGGCGAACCCTATGAGAGCGCCAAAAAGCTGGTCGAGCATTTAGAGGCGTTTGCGCTGTACGAAAAAGAAATTGGAGTGGAAAAGGTCTGGGAAGATTTCATCAAAGAGAGTGAAGATGCCTGCAGCCATCATCATTCGCGTTCACGTAAATCGAAAAAGAACAAAAAGCATAAAAAGCGTGTCCGCTCCACCTCCAGATCAGATATTGAGAACGAGCTGGTTGAGCTGGAAAAATCCAGAAAGCGACGCTCAAAATCTCGCTCAGTGAGTTTGATGACCATATACTCATCTTTTAGTTGATATATCTAATAGTTGACATTTTTCCACACAGAATTCTCTTAGTTCAATTGGCAGCATTGAGAGTGAAAAGCTGTTAAAAAAGAAGAAAAAGCGCAAAAACAAATCGAGAGCGGTATGTCCTTGAAGTCGTTTATCTTTAGCTTTTAAAACCATTCAAAAAACAACTTGTTAATTTTCCAGTCGTCTTGCGAATCCGAAATGGGCAATCAAACGCCAATTACTGCTGCTGCACTGCAGCAGAACGACTCAAATTCGCACTCACCGGCCAAAAAGAAGAAAAAAGAGAAGCGCACCAAAAAGGACAAAGAAGCCAAACGGCATCGAAACAATCGATCCATAACGCCGCTCAGTCCTGCCGCCCAATCGGATTCAGCGACATCCAGAAATGAGGAGCTAACGCTTAGCGATGGTGAACTTGAGTCCAAACGTGCAGCGCTGCTAGCTCAGCTTAATGAACAACTGGACGAATGACCAGCTGCAATCGCAAGATCAAAAGCTAAATTAACAACAACAGCAGTTAGCATTAGTCAGCTATAGCCATAATATAGACAGTGCGACAGTGTGCCCTAGTTAATATACGTTGATCCAAGCTCCAGCAGTTTTTAGGCCTGCTCTTCGTGGACACGCTATAACGTATTTATGCTATCGCACATATCATTTGCTTTGTTCTGAAACACTCTGGCCCTAGCACAACAAATCCCACACAACGCAGGCAAACAAATGTAAGTTTTTCATCAGCGATAAGTTTGATTGTAAAGAAATTATAATATTATTATAAGACAACAACAAAATAATATTATTTGCACTTTGTGTGACTACAAAATCAACAGAGTTATTTATTTATTTAAATGACAGAGAAAAAGAGTACACTTTTTCGCAACTCATCACAAATTTTTGTATTTCGTATACATTTTTAGGATGTCCAAGATAAAAATAATTCATAGCTTAAATCGATCAGATTTTAAAGCTAGATTCGAATTGTAGAATTGCTCAATTTGGTATTTTCTTAAATTATAAATAAACTATCTGCTAAACTATGTTTGCTGGCTGAACATGAAAAAAAGATTTTTAAACTCGGTATTCCCCGATAATTTTTCGTTTCGTCAACTAAGAAAATATATTGTTTAATGATTTTTAAACAAAAATTGATTAATTAACATGTAAATTTAACAAAATGCAAAGAAATTAATGGATCGGTTTACGGTCGTTTTAAAGGCTGATATGGGTTTGAGGATCGGTTCTGGGTTAACTCTGGTTTCGGTTCACAAATTCGAACATGTTTATGAAACTATCCCAATTTTAATTAATAATTGCCCGTTCTACCGAAAATATTGCAAGCCATAGATATTTTCTTATTGAAGTTGAGGGCTAAATTAGATTTCTTCCCCAAATTGGCATCTACCAAGTATGGTTATTTGCATGGATCTAATGGTTGGGACTCAAATTATTAATTCACTGGGAAATTCCAAAAACGTAATATTGCGGGTTCGATTCGGCTAGGTTCAAACCCGACTTTCAACCTTGAAATAAATATCTTTAAAAAATACAGATTTTTAAAACTCCCACAATTTACTTATGAATAACAAACCATTTAAACTCTACAAAAAAAGAATGTTTTTAAAATGTTTACTATTATTTTTTAATGACAATCTTATATCTTCTTGCCTATAAATGATCAAGATAGACTCAGCAAACGCGCTTACAGAAGCACTGCGAATATTGTTGTACTAAAACTTGAATTCCTTGTACTTCTTTGTGGTCTTTGCTGGATCGGTTTGTTGTCGCTTGCGTTTCGATTTTTGACGCGCCACATGCTCCGCCAACATGTCCGATAGGTCCTCCTTTTGCAAGTGATTCTGTTGCTCTCGCATTTGCTGCTCATAACGCTGGGCCATCGCATCGTTGTCCAGATCCAATTCACTAGGATCCAAGGCCAATTCGACAATGCCCTCACGATCTGTAGTGGAGCGCACAGGCGGCTGTTTACTGGCACCAGTGCCGCCACCAATGTCATACACATGCGTTGAGCCCATCATGGAGGCGCCTATGCGGTCTGTGCGCTTCTCTGGCAGCACCTGATACAGTACAGGCGTTTCATTGCTGTTTAAGAATAATCGAATTATTTAGCTGGTCTTATTTAAAAGAGGATTCAACAATATCTTACTCTTCCATTTCGGCTTCAATTTTCTTTTTGCGTAATTCAATGTTCTCGGGTGTTTCCATGCCCGCTGGAACACTGGTTAGACCCGAGGGCGTAACCAGACCCTCAACTGGCGTTACCAAACCGGTTTCGTCCTGCTGATTGCCCAGATCCTCGCCATCCTCCTCCTCCTCTTCGGATGATTCCTCCGATTCGGATTCGAGTTCACCCCATTGGTTGCGCTCAATGTCCGCTTCATCGATGCCGTTCTGTTAATGCAATTATTAAATATTTATATCATTTTAAGTTATGTCTATCTACTCACATCCAAATCAAGCGTATTCATGCCGAATACATCGCCATACAGAGGCTTGCCGTTCTCATCAACCGGCGGCTTACCCCAGCCTCCTGCGTGGTAGCCAAAGGAGGTGCCCTCTGGTATGGGCGCATTTAAGCCGGGTATTTTCAGATTCGGATATGACGGCGGCGGACCGTAGCGCTGTTGGGCAATCAGCCATGGTGGCGGTATTTTGTGCGAATTGGGCCCAACCGGCATGCCCAGGGCAATGCGCAGCTCTTCAGAAAGATCGCCTGGCTTTTTCTCTTTTAGACGCGTCTCAAACTCTTTTCCCTCATAATAAAGATCACCATGGATGGTCATGCGCGGCTTTGTTTGCCACTTGAAAAAAGCATCGTGCAGCTTCTGATAGTCAATGTCTATTTTGCCCATTTTCGGGCGAACACGTTCGCGCATCTTTGCCTTTAGTGTTTTAGCATCTTCGCGCTCTTGCAGGGATTCACGCATCTCCATTATGCCCGTTTTCTTAATAAAAGCTGGCAGATCAAAGGGCGGCTTCTCAATGCCACGCTTGCCCTGCAGATATTTACGCTTGAAGCACCAGTGACGCGGCACCTGCACCGTATTGCGATAGGCCTTAAGCTGGACAAGCAGCTTTGGATCCCGGGCTGTCACATCGTGCATTTCAACAACATCCGGCCGTGACACCAATTGCTTGAGCTCTGCCACGCTGAGACGTGTGAGTTTTTTTAGCTTGCGCTTGGATAACTTCTCTTTGTCCTCCTTATTGTCATCGTCATCATCTCCATCATCATCGTCGTCGTCGTGCATTTTGTTGGATGATTTTTTGGCTTTGGCCAAAGCTTCAGCATCCAGAGCTGCCTTGTCTTTTTCAACGGGCTTCGGCTTGTTTTCCAGCTTAAAGATCTCAAAGACGCGGTAGAATTGACGGTACATGGGCGCCAGATCTGCAATAGTTATCTTCTCGGGCACATATCTGAGTATTTGGAATATATTAAGATATATTTGTGTTAAGAAATAAACAAATCTGCAGGCACATACTCAATGGTGACATCCTCCTCGCCGTTTTCCGATTTCTTGCGTTCTTTGGCCTTATCCTTTTCTTCGGCTGCGCGCTCCTTTTTCTTTTTGCTGCGACTCTCTTTCTTTGTGTCCTTTTCCTTCGCCGGCGGCTGCTCGTCGTCACTACCCGCCGCCTTCGGTTCGTCCTCGGGGTCTAGTTCCCTTGGCTCAGAGCGGCGCGCCAACTGCTGTTGCCGTTCAAACTCCAACCTTTGTCGTATCTTTTTGTTTTGCTTCTTGCGGCGTTTCTTCTTTTTGTTTTTGTCCGCTTTACTCTGCTTGCCCGGCTTGTCGCTGTTGACGCCGTTTAATTGGTTGTCGGCCTCCTCATCGCTATCTTCGCCTACATCGGCATAGTCACCATCTTGCGACGTCCCGTCACCACCGTGGCCGCCTCGTGCATCCACATCAGTGTCGAACTCAGCTACACGCTGATCCTTTAATGCGAGCACATCTTCCAGCGCCTTTGGCAGCACTAAGTCAGCCGCTTTTTTTGAGTCGACGATTGCTTGTGCGTCGTCAACGTCGCCGGCTCCGCTGCCATTGGCAGCTACATTGTCAATCGTTTGTTGCTGATCGAAACGAATGGACATCAATGCCGCCGGTTGAACGCCCTGTGCGAAATGATGTGTGATTAACTATAAAGCTTAAATCTTTTAAACACTACAATTACATCAGGTTGAATTTGGTCAGCCATTTTTATTATATTTTAAATAATAAAATAAACAAAAATCCCAACGAAAATGCAAATTTTGGTGATGTCCTATTCGCGATTGATTTGGTGGTGGCGACGTCAATACACAACTTACAACACTGTGTTTTGTTTATCGATAACTTTTGCTTTTAACGTGGTTCTGTGTTCTGTGATGAGTGAAGTACATTGTTGAACAGCTGAGTTTCATGTAAACATAGCTCCATTAAAAAAGATAACTTATAAATATTTTGCTGTAGATTGTTTCTTAAATAACATTCTATTACATTTTTTCAGGTTTGCTCAAGTGCCGGTATAACAGCAAGAAAGTGAACCAAACCAAACAGGGTGACTTAGGTATTAAAAATGTTCAAGTTCAATTTTGAAGTGAACGATTCAGATTCATCGGACAATGCTGAGAGTCCTTTTAAAAAACCTAAAGTTGAGCAAAAGATAAATTCAGATTCAGAAAAAGAAGAAATTATACTCTGGTATCAAGCAGAGCAAATAAAACCAACTAAAGCCATTTTACAAAGCTTGGATCTGTACGAACTTAATGCAAAAGAACTAACTTTCGAAGACGTCGAACTACGGCATATAATTGCGGGGTTTCTGCTTGAAGATATTAAAAGAAACAGTGATGTAGATAGTCAAGACATTAAGAAATCCGAAGAAAGCCACTCTGATTTAATAGCAGGTGTATATGAAGGTTTGTAGTGTTAAAATTACTTTTGTATTTGGAAAACTAACAACTTTCGTCAACAGGTGGAGCGAAAATTTGGGAGTGCACTGATGATTTGTTAAAATATTTGTTCAAAAACTATGAAAAAAAACATTGGGAGAACAAGCTGGTCTTGGACTTGGGCTGTGGATCTGGGCTTTTGGGAATATACGCGATGAAATGTGGTGCGAAAGTAGACTTTCAGGATTATGTAAGAAACTAATATCTCACTGCCGTTTCCTACAATGTAGTTTGAACATTATTTCAGAACAAGGACGTTTTGGAGAAAATCACAATACCAAATGTACTGCTTAATTTGAATGAAACGTTAACCGATAATGAAAAAATTGATCAGCTACAAAAAAAAAGTAATTTCTACGCTGGCGATTGGTCACATTACGCGAAACTTACAGAGAACCTTGAGAAATATGATATAATTATGACATCAGAAACGATATATAACATGGAAAATCAACAAAAGTTATTGGACACATTTAGAAAACGACTAAAATCAGACGGTATTGTTTTGCTAGCTGCCAAATCGCATTACTTTGGTGTGGGTGGTGGACTAGAGCAGTTTGTTGAGTTTGTAAAAAGTGGAAAAGATTTTCAAAGCACTTATTTGTGGCAGGCTGATGAAAATCTCAAGCGCGGCATAATCGAATTAAAATTGCATTGAAATAAATACTATCGTACTTGCCGATAATTTCTTATGCAATTTGATTGCTAAGCGAAACACCCTGTGATGGGGGTGGGCAAAGAGTTGGGGTTTTGTTTTTATCGCAAAACGACGCGACTGTGTAAGTACTTTTACACGAATAAATCTTAATATATATATTTTGTTTTCAAATTGAATATTTATTTGCGCTTTTAAAGCACACACTGTGGCTTGACTTTGGTCCTAAATTAAATTTCAACAAATTATTCTCTCACACGCTGCGTGGAAAACGAATTTCTTTTTGCACTGCCGGCCCGGTCCCACTATAAATCGATGCGTCTCAATGTCGACGACAAATGTGAACTTTTTCGAGGCAGCCACAGAAGCCGAGAGGCGCGAAGCGGATACGCGAAGCCTCTGCTGCTGCGAATACATAGGACATGATAAGCAGCCATTTCATATCTTAGGATGCTGTTGTAATTGCGAAGACTTTGACTTGGTATGCACACGGTAGGCAGAAACACTCCCCCCCCCCACACACACACACTATTGCACACTATTGCCAAGTGATTGATTGCTGTTATATATATTGAGAGATGTACCATGGTGCACAATACCGTTACTTCAGCTGAATCTCTACATTTATGCCGTGGGCCTCATCGTGTTTCACCTCTTAATCATATGACCCTTATATTGGATGAATTTATTTAAGCAATTCACAAACATTTGCAGACTCATCACGTGTAAACGCATTGAACAGCGCAACATAGACGGCATGTTGATTGCATTCCAGGACCGGCTGCGTTTACCATGGCGTGGGGGCGCCAAACGCATATCACTCGCTGCACTGGCGCCAGCCATAATACTGCCCATCATGATGGGGCTGGCGGCGCTCAATGCCAAGACTGCTATAGTAATAATGCTCACGCTGATGGTCTTTACATATTGGGGCTTGCAAATCGCAGAACGGACGGCCACGAAAACCAGCTTCTTTTTAAGCTGGGTTGTCTTTTCGGTAATCTACATGGCGTTGATTTTTGAGTGCGAAGTGCCGCTGCTGGAGCTGCTGCCGATAGAGAACAATATATTGCTGTTATTGTCATTGGGTGCCATATGTTTGTGGTATCGCATCAAGAAATTGGCGCCGCTCAATCTGGTGACCGCGCAATACGGAACCACGCCCAAGGATGAACTGCCAGGCATCACGGAAGCCTCCAGTGGCGAGGAGCAGGCCGAGCAGCAGGCACACGAATCTATCAGGCTAAAGGGAGACACTGTGCTCGGCATCGACGATGATGATGATGATGACGCTGCTATAAACAGCTCTGAACATGCTGGACTTATGCAGCATGCCGCCCAACCAAATATCTGTGAGACTTGTCGCAAGGTGACGCCCCGGCATGCCTATCATTGCGTCGTCTGTGGCAGCTGCGTTAAGCGTCGCTCTCATCACAGTTACTGGCTCAACTGCTGCATTGGTGAGAACAATTATCGTTTGTATCTGGCGGCGCTGGCGTTATCCGAATGTGCGCTGCTGCTGGGCGCCAATTTGACATTGACGGCCGTTTGCCATCCATTCTTGGTGGTGCGTCTGCTGAGCCTTCCCCTGCTGCTGCCCGATGACTGCAGTGAGGTCTTTGAGGACTTTGAGTGAGTGTCGGCCAGAGAATCATGTTGAATAAACAGATTTATATTTTCCTTCTTTACATTTTCTGTAGATTGGGCATATCGTTTATTGTGGCCGGCTATGCCATGCTCATCTCTTGCTATATTGCCTTTGTCCTGGTGCGTCAATTGTATTTGTTGTGGCGTGGCACCACCATGCATGAATATAAGCGCGCGCCAGCTCACAATGGAAGTCGCAATCGGGTTTGGAGCAATTGGCGGGCTATTTTAAATTGATGCAACGAGCGAGCATCAGCTACATTTGGAAGCCCGAATACTATAATAGTAAAGCCCAAATACTATTTATTAAAGCTAAGGTACTTAGTTGTATTATGTAGCTTTGCCTGTCGGTCTATATATGTATATATATATATATATATATATATATATATATATATATGTATTTAGGCCCAATATTTATTTATGCCCTTTAGCTTTATTTAATGTTTGTGTTAATGGAGAGCGCACAACTTAAGCTTTTAGGAATGCGTTTAATTAAACGTGTTAATTGACGCTTACTACGTTTATATGAGGGCCTTTAATCGTGATTAAACATTTAATCCAAATATATGTTAAAAGTAAAAGTATTAAATGCAATTTCCAAATATATGAGAACTTATCAACCTTAACAGTTTTAGTAGTATGTGAAATTAAATTACTATAGTGATTAGAGTTATTGTGATAATGGCTTCATTTTGAATGAATATTCAGCATATACAAATTTTTGTTGTTAGTATTGCTTTTAACTAAGCGCAATCTTCGAATGTAATTAAGTTTTATAATTTCCAGACAAAACTACATTTGTTGTCGATACTGTCATTTGTTGTCATATAGGGCATATAATCAAATACAGTGATCGCTTACACATGAAAGACTATTTTCAGAGCTAATTCCAGTTTCCATAATATTCTAATTAACAAATGCTTCACTTTTTCTAAAAATAAATTATTTATTTTTCTGCATTCCTATATTCAAAAAAAAAAAAACATTTAAAAAAATTGGAATTTAATTAACTAATCAAAAAGTTTATAATTTTCGAGGTGACATGAGCTCGAGCCAGCGTAAAGTCAAAGAAATAATAAAATAAATAGACAAAAGCAAGAAAATTAAACAAATTTACAACAAATTAAAATATTAACTACCACAAGCTGTCCTCCCTGGGCTTGTAATCCGGCAGCAGCTCCCAAATTTTCATGCGCCAACGCTGGCGACGCTCTTCCGTCTCCTTTTCCAGGCGTAATATTTGCGGCAGTCGTTGCCAACAATCCAGGACCTTCCATTTGAGGTGCCTTAAGAGGGATATATGCATACACAGGACTCTATAGTTTCAACTCGGGCACTTACCACTCGTGATGAGAGATGGCCTGTCGCAGCTTGGTGTCCTCAACCAAGCGACAGCCGGTGGTGAAGTTTAGCCAGCGTCCAAACCAGTGCTCCATAGCATGCAGGGCATGCCAGTCGATGGCCACCTGCATCTTGTTGCGCTCCTCCTGCATATAGAGCCGCCAGGCATTTACGGCCCGTCGCTTCACCGCCTTCTCGTAGCACAGTTCCGCACGGAAGCGCTTCTCCCGTTGCCGGTATGCCGTATATTTTTGCCATTCGACAAAGAACTTCCGCTTGTATAGACGCCGACAGAACTCCTCGCACTTGACCAGATTGTCGTGCTTGCGCTGTAGCAATCGCTTGAAGCCCTCCATGCCAACGCGACGCAATAGCAGACGACGACTGAACTCCAGAGCCTTGCGTTGATTCTCAATGAAGCGCTGACGTTCACGCTCCTTCAGCACCTTAGCCATTTTCTCCTGGCGGCGCTTCTCCTTCAGCACCTCCATGCGCAAGCGTTTGGCCTCCTCATCCTCCTGGCGCTGTTTGGACAACAACTTGAAATCGTAGTCTGTGTGTGCCTGCGCCGACTTACCTTGGCCTCCTCCATGGCCAGTTTGGCTGCCTCGCGCTCAGCTTCGGCCTGGGCGCGCCGCTGACGCGCCTGCTCATGCCGCACACTACGCTCTAGGGCGCGCTCCTGCATGTGCCGCAGAAAACGTGGCTGCAGCAGCGCCTTGCCCTGCAGACGTTCCAGTTCCTCGTCCTCGGCATCACGCAGACTGCCAATCAGCTGCAGGCACTTGGCCTTGGCCTTTGCCTTGGGATCGCCACAGCGTATGACGGTTTTCAATTCCTGCTTGAGATCCTCGCGTGCCTCTTTGGCCTCGTCGCTGAGCTTGTGCAGCTTCAGCTGCATAATAAGACGCTCCTGACGCTCCAGCTTGATGCGCTGCAAATCTATGATGTCCTGCTGCACCTTAAGCCTGAAAAGTATAGGGAATAGGTAAGTGAAAATTGGAGCAGTCCCAGTCAAGGTGTTGCTGCCATACTTATTCTTAAACTGCTTGGCCATTTTGATGGCTTCTTCGCGCTGCTCCAGCGTCTTTTTCGCTATTTTGTCCGCATCGTTTGGAGTTGACGGCCGTTTGTTCTCCCGCTGACGCCTCTTCTCCTGCCTGAGCTTGTCCAGAAATGCATTTATTTTGGTAACACGATTGATGTGCGTTTTTCCCGGCTCCCGTTCGATCTTCTCCATGGTAGTATAATGTATCCATCTGAGAAAGTACGTGCGCATAAGATTCAGATCCGTATTGCTGCGTGCCTGGAACAACTGCTCGATAATCCGTTGCTTTTCAGGTGGCACGGTCGTCGGATTATCATCGTCAGAGCTGCTGCTGCTGCTGCTGCACAGCTGCGTTTCTGGCTTGGGCAGGAGCACCACTTTGGGTAATTCAATGCGGCGTATAAGCAACGGCTCCGGCTCCGACACGGATGAGGCTGCCGGTTCGAACGCTTCGACGTGGCTTGGTGTCTTTGCTGTCTCCGGCAACTGGAATTTCACGAGCTTCACGGGCGCTTCCACTGGCACAATCAGCTCTATGTCCAATTGCAACTTTTCCTGCTCAGCTGCTTCGAGTTGAAGCTCATATAATGCCTCCTCGGCCAGATCCGATATGACAGAATCAATGCCCTCGCTGGTATTGGAGCAGGTGGAAGATTCACGCTGCAGCTGTGGCTGCTCGGCCGGCTGCTGCTGCTGCTGCAGTTCCTCCTCGTGACGTATTGTGCGCACGTGCAGCATCTGACGCTCGGCAGCGGCGCGCATGGGTCTGAACATTTCCTCGGTGGTTAGGAGAGGACTTGGCGTGCGACAGCGTTGCTGCAACTGCGCCTTGCTCTCGTCCAGCTGCACCTGCTTGACAAACTTACGATACTCCAGCATGTCCAGCTCTTCACGCAGTTCCAGCTGCTCGTCCTGCTTTACCTCGACACGCTCCAGCCAGATGTGCTCTATGTCCGCATCCGCCTCCGGCTCCGGCTCCAGCTGTCGTAGCAGCGTTGTCGTCGCCAGCTGCTTGCGTATGGAGCACAGCTGCGCGGCCTGACCCAGTGCGTCGACGGGCGTCTTGTAAAAATTGTCAATGTGTTGCGCCGCCTGCGACAGACTCTCCATCAAGGGGCCATGGTTGAGCTTAAAGTCTGGCTTGGTGGGTCGAACACGTATCTTCCGCACCTGCACGCGCGGATGTTGTCTGGCCAGTTGCTGGCGAAACTTTTGCAGCTGATTGTTAACATAACGCTGTTCCACATCCAGATTATGCGCCTTGGTCGCGTCCAGTGTGCTGCCATGTGCCACTGTGGCCAATGGCAGCTTGCGTGGTATCTGAGAGAACTGCAGCAAAGATTAAGGATTATGTCTCATGGGCTTACGGACTCACCATCTCATGACGCATATCCATTATAACGCTAGGATTGAGTTGACGTTGCGGCTCACCGTGAATGAGCAGCTGGGATTGCCGTTTGCCAATATAGTCCACCTCAATGAAACGACGCACTGCATCCGTTTTAAGGCCCAACGGATTCGCATTTAGATGGCGTTTACGTATGCGGTCCCAGCGCGTCGGCTTATTCAGTTTTTCGCGACGTTTTTGTAGCGACATTTTGTATATTTATCCTACAAATATTTTTTATTGAAATTAATTTAACTGTCTGAAAGAAAAGCAAGGATTGCTTGTACACAAGTTGGAAATGTTGTCCAGGCAACTAATCAACAACTATCAAATTTTCTAATATCAGTGGGCAATGGTTGCTATGCAGCCAATGCCCTAGAAATATGAATATTTCTTTTTCCCTTTTAAGAGAAGCAACCTGCCGGGCAAGGCCGGGCTATACCCGCTAGTTAAATTATATTTGTATTGCCTACGTTCTAAATCCAAGTTCAAGCAAAGAACTTACAAATCCGAGTTTTTTCGCTTATATCCTTACAGTATATCTCAACAAAAATAAGGGTTTGACTCTCAGGCTACAGTTCCTGTTTTTAAAAACATATTTTGTAGAACTCGTTATTTTAACCTTATAATAATAATTATAATAATAACATATTTTAAATGATTTTTGAGCTAGTTTTGTACAAACTCATTTGAGGGGTGTTTCCGACTTTGTGGAAAGTCCACTCCTCCTTGATGGAAATGGGAGTCAAAGATTTGCTGGGTGACGTTTCGCGCTCAAATTCATTTCCAAGGATCTACATAAAAAATCATTTGAGACGTGTTTCAGAGGAAAGTGCATTTTAAAGATATTTTTTGTGAATTTTCAAAGTTCTATATTAGAATATAACGAATCCGTGTTTCAGTGATTTGGGAAATTCCACTCGCAGCAGTGGTAAAATGGCGGAAAACGTTTGTATAAAAGTAATTTGTTTACCGTCCGATCAGTTTCAATATGATTTTCAAAGCTTTTTGAGAACATTGATTTTATAACATACGTGCCACGGGCAAGGCCGGGCTATACCCGCTAGTCTAATATAATTGGGAAATAGAATAAATCCATAATTTCGCATTTTAAAGCGCAAGTTGTTCCGATTTAATTACAAAACGTTTGCAATAAATGCAATAAATATACATAAGGAGTAATAACACAATTTTGGACTTGAAAGCTTAGTTTATGCTGAGTATGGAGCGAGAGCGGGCGGCTAGTGGATTAGGCAGGATTTAGGCAGCAGCCGGATCCTTCTTGGTCTTCTCTTTCTTCGTCTTCTGCTTGTCGGCGGCGGCCTGTTCCAGATCGATTGGTGCTGGCTTGACAAACGGAATCTCGTCCTGATACTTGCTCGGCATGAATTTCTTAAGAGGCTCAGGCACCTTGATGCCTGTCTCAGTCTGATGGGTTTCGAGTATGGCGCAAATGACACGTGTCGCCGCGCACATTGTGGCGTTCAGCATGTGCACATAGTCGACGGCGGCGTTCATCTTCTTTGTTTGGCCATAGCGCACGAGGAGACGACGGGCCTGATAGTCCAGGCAATTGGAACAGGAGACCAGCTCTCTGTAGGCGCCACTGCCGCCAAACCAGGCCTCCAGATCGAGTTTCTTTGAGGCAGCATGATTGAGCGCACCGGACACGATGTTGACCACACGGTAGGGAATGCCCAGCGATTGGCAGAACTGCTCGGCATTGCCAATCATTTCGTCCATCATTTCCCAAGATTTGTTGTCGTGCGGCGAGGTCAACACAAACTGTTCGACCTTCTCGAACTGATGCACACGGAAAATGCCGCGCGTATCGCGTCCATGTGAGCCCACCTCCTGACGGAAGCAAGTGGACAGGCCGGCATATTTAATGGGCAATGATGCCTCCGGCAGCCACTCATCGCGATGATAGGCCGCAATGGGCTGCTCAGAGGTGGCTATCAGGTATTTCTCATCGGTGCCGCTCTCCTCGGCACGTTCGCTGCCCTTGCCCACAACCTTGTAGAGCTCCTCATCGAACTGCGACAGTTGGGCCACTTCCTGCATAACCTCCTTGCGCATAAAGAAGGGTGTGTACAGCGGCACATAGTCACGTGCATAGAGCAGATGCAGAGCATGTTGTATTAGGGCCTGCTCCAGGAACACCGCTGCGCCAGTTAGGAAGTAACCGCGTCCACCCGATACCACGGCACCCTTCTCGGCATTCATGCCGTCGATCATAACAATGAGATCCACATGCGAGTACTTGCCGCGTTTCTGACAATCGCCAAAGGTGCGCTCTACGCGGTTTTCATCCTCGTCGTTGGAAACGGGCACAGATTCGTGCAAATGATTGCCCACCTCGCGCAGCGCCGTGTTACGTGTTTGCTCGGCCAGCTCCAATGCTTTCTGGTTCTCAGTCATCGCATCGTCGATGAGTAAGCGCAGCTGTTTGATTTGATTAACCGTCAGCGGCTGCAGCGTTTCGGCTGTGACCTGAGTCAGATCGGCGCGAACAGCGGCTGGCACCTCCTCGCCCTCGGCACCGACAGGCTCCTTCTTCTTCATTTTCTCGCCAATTACCTTGCTGCAGACATTCTTCACCTTGTTCAGGTTGTCAGCGCGATGACGTCGCTGACGCCATTCGGTGTCCTTTTCGATGACTGTCTCAACCAGGGCGACATCTTTGAAGCGTTTCTTTTGATTATCGCGCACCGCATCGGGATTGCCACCCTTGTCGCTACGAAACAAATCTAAATCCAAAACCATTTTTTACGCTTTTTACTTAATTTGCACAGCGGATTTCGTCAGCGTTTCGTTGTGTCGGCGTTTATCACAACGTGGCGGCTATAGAGATGCGAATTGACTGAGTTACTGTAACGGAGTAACTGTTACTTGTCACCGGCAGCTGTTATTTAGCTGTACTAAAGCTTTAACTTTGCCGAAATGAGGACGCTAAGACAAGAGTTAACTAAAGGACTTAGCTGACAAACTTAATCAATACACTAAACAGCTATTATTACATAACAAAAAGTTTGTAAAAAGTAGCACATATTGCCAGCAACTTTCTCATCGCTATTTGATGGCTGTTATCGATAGTTTTTAACAGTGGGACACTAGCCCTGGCCTGACAGTTACTTGTCTCCGGCAGTTGTTGTTGTTAGCTCGCAATATAATATATAAGTCACGAGTTATGTAACAAAGGTCAAAAGCAAGTTTAACAGTTACTATTATATATAAATGATTCTTAAATAACATGCAGACAGTAGCCCCTATTGCTTGCGACTATCTCATCGCTATTTGATGGCTGTTATCGATAGTTCTTGTTATTGACGCAGCAGCCCTGGCTTGAAATTTTTTAAAAATTGACTTCTTATTGAACATAACATATATTTTATACGTCCCATACGCCATGGATTTCATCGAGCGCGAATTGGTCGACATACGCGCAAATTGCGAAAAACAAATAGCCAGCAGCAAAATAATTAGCTGCAGTGCTACGCTAGTGCGTGTCGACCTGCTGCCGGATAGACCCAATCGCACCATGACCGTTTGTTTACGCTTTCCCGAGGATTATCCACAGAGCTCAGCCATTTTGGTGGAGCTTAAGAGTCGTGTTTATTCCGACAAATTGCTCGCGGAGCTCACGCGGCTAATGGACGACTATGCAAGGGAGCATTTGGGAACAGCACAAGCTTTGCTTGTATTGCGATTTGCCCAGCAATACTTGTTGGACAATCCGCTGTGCGTGTGCCTGGACGAGATCAAGCAGCTGCGCATGGATCTAAAAGGCGTAGAGAACTCACAAAATGTTGCCAGCCAGCTAAAGCTTCGACAGCGCACAAGTTGCGTGGAATTAATTGCCCGTGGCGGCAGTTACGTCTATCGCGTGACAGCCGCCGTGCCCGACTCCTATCCCAACCAGTGCGTGGAGCTGCGTGGCCAGGAGTCAAATCTGCCCACCGTCCTCGTGCGTTATCTGAACGGACAGTCCCGAGAGATAGCACGCCAATGCGTTGAGCCACCGCTGCGTCTCAGCAAGGAGGAGCTGGCGCACTTTCGGCCCGTGCGTAGTCTCTATCGTACGCTAAAGTTTTGCCTGGAGGCTACACGGGATTTTCATCAGGAATTGTGTCCGATTTGTAATAGTACCGTGCTGCAGGCACAGCCAGAGTCTATGGTGCTGGACGAGCATGCGGATGCGTTTGTCGAGCGTGTCTACTGCGGCCATCTCTTTCATCAGGGCTGTCTGAAGCTGTACCTGTCCGAACCACCGTTTCCCAAAGGCGGCAAACTGTGCCCGGCCAAGCGCCGGCATCCGCGCTCCGATGCACAAACCTACATGGGCAAGGGAGCCACTGCAGCAGCCACGTCCGCAGCGAGTGGCAGTCAAAAGAAACTGGATGGCGCCGTCTGTGGCATTAAGCTGGCCCATGACCGTTGGGTGGTGAATGTGAAGACGGCAGAGGCGCGTTGGGCACAAAAGCAGGCACGACAACGTGAACTGGAGGAGGTTGTCGATTTTCTGCAGTAAGTTGGGATCAGAAAAACTTGATTTTTGTACATATATTTAACTTGTGATGTATATTATTCGAATACGCTTAAATGGCTGCAGATGCTAGTTATGAAATAAATAGAAAAATGATAATGAGATAATGAGCGAACGACACTTATAAGTATTGAAATTTGGATTACTGTGCTTTGTGCGACTAGGTTATATATATATATATTTCGCATGTGCGTTGTCTTGTCTTTTTTTCTGGAAGCACTTGCATCATTGACTTGACAGGCTTTAGAAGCCCGTGATAATTTCATCATCTTCGTGGCGCTTGATGGGATCACCCTTGATCAGCGATGAAATCAAGCTGCAAAAACGGAGCACATATAATAACCAAGTGAATATATACATACATGGATCACACACTTACCAATAGAGGCCCACAAAGAACATGACAAAGTAGAAGCCCAGATAAATCATGCAATTCCTTAAATGCACCTTCAGCAGGCCGCGACTGTGTATATCCACGGGATCGTAGACGCCCAGGCTGTCGCGGCGTTGCCGGTGCAGCTCATAGAACAGCCACACGACCATGGGCAAATTGAGCAGAAACATCACCCAATGACTAAAAACAAACACAATTAACAAAATCAGTTGAGCAACAGTTGAAAGCAGCTACCCGGAGATGAGCAGCAGGGCGCAGAGCAGCGCATGTGAGCCAAATTTGGGTATGACCCAAAAGTTGAGGCGACGACAGCATTCCTGTGCATTTAAATAGTCGCATTCCAAGTCGGCCAGCGTTAGCACCTGTTATAAAAAATCATGTTCATTACATTTTTCCTCGTATTTTCCCGGCGATTTTCTCAAACATTTCACTTACATAGTAAATTAATAGCAATAGTATGGCGCCATATACTAGCAATGTTATGCAGAACACAGCTGTTTCTGGCAAAAACATAATTGCACTGCTGATTCACCTTTTACTTAAAAACTATATATTTAAATTACTACAAACAAATGTTTTGCAGCATTTTCGCTGTTGTTATTAATTAGTGCTGACAAATAGTGTTGGGAAGTGCAAAAAACATACGCTCCATTTACAACAGGCTGGCAACACTGCACAGCTAAACCAATTCAATTGCTTGTAAACAACAAAAAAATAAGTTAGTTATAGTTGTTGTTTTTTATTAGTAAATGGGCGGCAAAAGCTATTATTGTGATTACTGCTGTTGCTATATGAAAAATGACCTGAATGTGCGCAAGCTGCACAATGCGGGTGCTTCGCACACCGCTGCAAAGGGAACCTACATGCGTCGCTTTGAGGGTGAGCTATGCATTGAAATGCATAATAAATAATATATACATATGTACATATTTAGATCCGCGCAAAATATTGGCAGCGGAGCGCAGTAAACGGCCCTGCAAGCGCTTCTTTGCTGGCTATTGTAGATTTGAACAGCTCTGCAATTTCCGACATTACACGGATAAGCAAATGAAGCAGCTCGAGAAAATAGGTGCATCATAAATTTCCAAGTAACATTCTTTTATTTACTCATTTTTAAACTACTTCCAGTGAGTCAATTAAAGAAGAAAGCCTCTAAGAAGCAAAGGAACCCACAGAAAACAAAACGCAATTTGCCGCCCTCATTGCAACCCCTAGACTTGGCGAAGCTTAAGCAAACAAATTGGGACTTAAGTTGGGGCTAAAAAACAAAAAAACCCATTTCAGTAAAATGAACAAATTTGTGCTATTTGTAATAAATAATTCGTTGATTAGTATAGGTTTCATCTAGTTTTTCCATTTAAAATGCCATTAACCTTATCCATGATACGAGAAACTTTTAAATTAATGCGCAAGACACGAGCATATTCATAATGAAACGATTTAGGGCTATGCCCGCTGAGGTTCTCCTCATCGGGATTGGCCAGATGAGCCAGGAGAAAGTAACACAAATGTTCAAGCTCGCCTTCAACGGCATAGAACAAACTTGCATTGCCCGCACGCGCTTCGGTGGCATTCAGTATCTCGTGCTTCAGCTGGCGTCTCAGCAGCTTCTCCTTGTTGTGCTCCAATCTGTCGCAGGCGCGCTCATAGTATTTGGCAAATGTTTTCTCATCACATTTATTGTTGGCTTCCACGTTTGTTTCCTTCACTTCTTCGGATGCACGCCTATAGATGGCTGCACCCAACTGTCTCTGATCGATGGTGTCGCATATAATCTCAGCCATTCTGTAGCGATTGTAGCGCACAGCAATGTGGAGCGCTGTGTAGCCATCATCGTTGATTTGCAGCAGGAGATTAAGGTCTATCCGCTGCATCAGCTCCCGCAGCGACTCCAACTGTACATTATTAATAATGGCTATGTGCAGAGCCGTATTGGCGTCCTCGTAGATATGATTGGGCAACACGCCGGCATTGAGCACAACTCGAACAATTTCTGGATCGCAGTCGTTGGTTAGCGCCAGCTGCAGACAATCCTCACCATCGGCGCTGAGTATTTCATTGAAATCCTTGTTTCCCTTCAACTTGGTCCACACATAAACCTGTCGCTGCACGCACTGAACATCTCCAGCTAACATGGCATCGTGTATGGGCCTGACAAAGTAAAAATAAATCATTAATTACTTTGTACTAAAAATTTGTCATAGCTATGATTTAACGAATTGGTCTGAATGGAAGCTAAAGCTAAATAATTGCTTGCATATCGGTGAAAAAAGGTTGCGTATTAGATAATATAAAATATATATAAGTGCATTTCATTTCAATTCCTATCGTATGCGTCATTTAGTATTAGTTAGCTTAAGCTAGAGCTCGTGAAATATGAAGCTTAACGTACAGCAAACCCTCCGCGGACATTTCTTCAGCTCGTAAGAACTCTTTTTCCATCATCAATAAAATGGTGCGTTCATTGTCATTGTTGATGTAATTGTCCATTTGATTGCATAGCTCGAGCACATTTATGTCACTAAGATTGGATAGATTGGACATGATTGAATCTCGACGTTGCATGGCATTTCCCTGGGGCGTGGGGCTGGCAGAAGGGCTGGGCTCCTGTGAAAATAATTGAAATAACAAAATCATTAGAAAGGCACAAGCGTAACTGATTATTCAAATGCTTTGCTTCATACGGAATTGTCCACTTTGTTCTTTTTCTGCGGCGGCAACGGTGTCAGTTGTTTCTCCTCGCGCTCCTGCAACGCCATTTGGGCCGTCGATCGCTTGACCACCTGCGGCACACATGTATTTCGCTTGCGTCCGCGTTTTCGTGGCACTTTCTTAGCCGTTTCCGTGGGAATCTCATTGTGTGGGCTGCTTGTGACAGCTGATTTTGTTTCAACGGGGCATTCTTGTTTTTTAACGGATTTCACTGGTTGTATATGTTTGGCAATTTCTAATTCTTTAGTCTGTTTAGTCTCTATTGTATCGGTTTGCGTTGACGCATTCACTTTGAGCGCCTTTTGTTTTTGTTCATTTATAGAGCATTGTTTACACTGATTAGGATTCAAGATAGCCGACTTATCATTACGACCGTTGATAGCGTCAATTACGCGCTGCTGCAGGGCCTTGTCGGGCAGGCGCATAAGCAACTTGAATATGTCCTCGTAAATGGACTGAAAGGATTTGCGCTGCATATATGTGTTGGTGATAACATTGGTTGGTATGTGCATAACACGCACGCTCGAAGAACTGATTATGGGCGGAGTTGTGGCACCGTTTGGTGCTTTTTTCATTATATCTGGCGTAATCACACGAACGTGTTGCGATTTCGTTAATAACACTTTCTTCATCATTGGCACTTTATTACGAACTGCGGAGCTTATTTAAACGTTTCTATGCTTGTTGTTACTTTCGGGGGATGTCTCGTTTTATTTTGATGCAAATTATATTAAGTTGGTTTTTCCCCAGCACGCCTGCAGTATCAATACCGATAAGTCCAATTGCAGAGTTACTAACGATTTATCGTTAAACAAATAACGTTGTGCAGCACTGTTCGAGAATATTTCAATTTGGTACGGTAGATTATGCGCTTCTATCGATAGAATCAAACAGTTATTTGCACTTTTTATTTAATTAATGTCATAATAATTGCAATGCAAAATTTATTTAAATATTGAACTTAGCTTTATGTCATGTTAAATTCAAATTGGGGCGGTAAGCTGCTTTGCTTCTTCTTTGCTGCGAATAATTAGTATTTGCTCCTGTTCTAATCGATAACACAAATGTTGGCATTTTGTGTGAATGGCAAAAGCAGGCTGAGATTTTTTCCACAATTTTTTTTATTGTGCGTATGCCTATTGTTAATTTAGAATCAAAACCAAGTGAAAAAGTTTCTATTTGAGATTTGCTAAATGAGTGAGTTGCGTGGTAATTGTTGCTAGCTAGTTGTGCAGAACACACGTTTTGTTGGATTTAAAACGAATTCGGCCCCAGGTAGGCGTAACATGGACTCGCATTCGCGCTATGGACGCAGCTTTTCTGGTGGCAGCGCTGGCGGCGGAGGCAACAATAGCGGCAACAGCCAATACAGACGCTACAGTCGCTCCCGTTCGCGTTCTCGGTAAGCACACAAACACAGACACGCTTCTGCAGTCACCTGCGTATAAAAATAGACCGGAACAATTGGCTAATTTATTTATGTTATGTGCCTCGTTGCAGGGAGCGTAACCGTGACCAGGCTGGGTACAGGCGCCGGAACTCTCGTTCGCGCAGTCGCGAACGCTCTATGCATCATCGCAATGCTGGCAGCGATGACAAGGATCTGTATCGCGATCTAATTAACGATGATTACAATGAGGATCGAGGCAGCAGCTACAGCGGCTATAACAATTCGCGCAGCAATAATTATCACAGTCGTCGCGACGATAACTATGACAGTGAGCGTGAACGTGAACGTGAACGTGATAGGGACCGGGATCGGGATCGGGAGCGTGATCGCGAACGTGACCAGCGCTGGAAAAACTATGATCGAGAGCCACGTGAACGCAACTCTGACTATGAGCGCGGCATGGAGCGCAGGTAACTTCCGCTGTTCTCATATATTCTTACACATTCTTATAAGCTTATAATCTTCCAGTCGCGACTATCGCTCGCACAACAATGGCAACGGCAGCAGTGCAGCCGCCGGCAGCAGCCGGGATCGCGACAGACGATATCCCTCCGATGAGGACAGCTATGACAGCGACGAGAGCGATGACAGCCAATATCGTCGCAATCACATCCGGACCAGCAACGAGGCTCTCAATCAAATTATTATATTTGGTTTGAAAAAGCACATCACCGAGGCGGACGTGAGTAGCCCAATCAGAGCAGTTGCTACTAGAGATCAGTGCTGTCCACTGGGGCATCCGATGCCAATGTTATAAGTAGTTAAAAAACGCCCACTCCTTTCTCGAGCACAACCTTTTAAACTGGTTGGATAGTTCGTATCATTGAGATTGCCAAAATTCGTTTTAAATTTCAACTGTTTACAAGTTGCAAGAAAATAGCCACATTCTGCTGGACAGAAGCGCCTTATATATTTAAAAACAATGATTTAGTTTTGTGCCAAATCCGCTTACGCATTACGGACGTAGTTTATAGCGCTGTTTGCTATTCCGTTTGCCTTTTGCAACATTCCATACTTGCATATTTTTCAAATACGTTTCTTAGTTTTCGAAAGAATTGAACTAATTCCAACTACTGTTAAACTATTAAAATATTTTCTATTCGTTTGTCTTTCGAAACATTCCATAATTGTATAATATCCATTTACCTTTTCGATCTTAGTTTTCGGATTTCGAAAGATTTAAACCGATTGCAATTCGTGTCAAAAACAATTAATTCAACTTTTTGCTATTACAGATAATGGGCGCACTGATACAAGTGAATATGGAGCCTTCTTCTATACGGCTTATACGCAAAAGACCTACAGGTGGGTTACATTATCGAAGCTTTTTCTATAACTTAGCTTAACCATATGCAGTAAGACAAATAGCTACAAACGGGGCGTAAGTATTACTTTTGTGTTAACTTGGCAGTAGTCCGGCAAAGTTCGCACCAGCAACCAAATTGAATATACTTGGCCTTCCATAAAAAAACCGACAACAAAACAAATAAAAAAAATAAAAAAAAAACAAAACATACCCAAAAATGCTACCAAAATATTAAACAAACTACATTTTTTGACAAAAACCATTTTGTATCTGCTTCTATCTAAAATTTAGGTGCATCACGCGGTTTCGCATTTGTCGAGTTTAATACCGTTGAGGAAGCAACACGTTGGATGGATATAACCCAGGTATCACAACAAGAAACCCAACTAAGCAAACCAAAAATTAAAAATTATTAAACAAAATACAATAAACAAAACAAAACTCGGCATCAATAATTGCGAAATATGTGCCTTAAGTTCAGTTCCCCAATTTTGCCCATCGACAGAGCAACAACAGCAGCAAAAGATCAAAGTTATCGCAACGCTTCGTATCGTATTATATAGTGGCATATATGTTCCATTTCTCCTAGCCCATATTCTTTTTTCAGAACGTGCCATTTTGGTTTGTTCTGCCGTCTTTTATTTCACATATATTTTTTTGTATGTATGACAAGAGAGTTCCTGGCGGCAACTGAACTTAATGTAAACATTTCAATTTATTGCGTTTACTATATGGAGAAACGACAACAACAACAACAACAACAGCAACTGCAACAACGGCTGCAAACAACAACGGCAACTGCGCGTTTAAGACACAGAAGCAACCTGGTGACTGTGTACTCTGTGCAACTTATGCTATCCCAAAGATCAGTCCACTAATCGATGCCAATCTCTCTTTTCTCTTCCTCTTTCATTCAGGGCACTCTGAAGCTGGGCGATCAACGCGTTTCGCTGCAATACAGCCACAAGCGCATCACCGACTGGCATTGCGTTAAGGTAAGATCAGTAATACATAGTTAAATGACACTTGCTTGAAAGCCTATGAAAGCACATGATCCCAAAGAACTTAAAAGCAGATGGTAGGCACTCAAAATTATAGTCACATTTAAGCTTAAATAAGCTCAACTTCGCTTAAAAGTATGCTGTCTAGCAGGAGTAAGAGCTGCTTTTAAAACTAGACTATACCAAAAAAAGCATAAAAAGTACCTTGGCAAGCTTTATATCATATAAAAGCTGTTTCAAGAAGACTGTTAAATTAAGTAAATCCATTTTAATAGAACAAACTTTATAAAGCTCATTAAAGCCAACTTATTAATTGCATGCTTTAAGCAAGTGTCAATGAAGCATATCAAACTAAATTCCTGTTGCTCTTACAGTGTGGCGTGTACAATTTCAAGCGTCGTTTCTCCTGTTTCATGTGCATGGCATCTCGCGCGGAAAGCGAAAGCATCTTCTCTGGCGGCGGCGAGGGCATCGACGAAGTTAGCCCAATTCTTACAAAAAGTATACATAAATAACAAATATCAATTTTATTGCCAAAAATTGATACGTTGCGGCGTTTTTGGAAAACATATTTTAATTGAAATGCTTTCCCCAACCCACTTCCTTCAATCCAATGCAGAGATCATGTTGCGCAACCTGGACGCGCTGACAAACGAGGAGAGCGTGCTAACTGCCCTGCAGAAGGTGCTGCCCAAATTGGCCAAAACCATTAATAAGGTGCTCATCAGTCGCGATACGCTGACCCAAACGTCACGCGGCATTTGTTATCTGAACTTTGAGACGCTTGTCGACTCGATGGATGTGCACAATGCGCTAACCACACTGGATCCACCGCTCCGGATCGATGATCGTGACGGTAGGTTGAAACGAAGAGCATTGCTATAATACTCTTAATTTCTGGAATCTCTTTTTGCAGTCTGCATCAGCTACTGTATGGACACTGAGAATCGCCAGATATTGCCAAAGGATACACAAGGAGGCAGCATTCATAGCGGTGCTTTGGCCGCTGTACCACCTTCGGATGCGGGCGGTGTATATACGCTAGCCGATGTGCCGCGCCTGGCCGAGTACAGTGCCTCGCTTTATGCATCCACGCCGGCCGAGCATGCCCATTATGTGCAGTATTACACTGATTATTATTTGGCTGAGATCAAGAAGGGCGGCGGACAGCTGCTTAGCGGCGGTGACGCTCAAGTGACTGAGGCCAACTCTGGCGCCGCTGTGGCTCTATCGGCCATACAACGGAAGCAGAAGAAGATTAACAGCATAGAGACGACAGCCACAGCGGCGGCAGCAGCAGCAGCACATGCAGCTGCTGCGGTGAAGGCTACGTTTGCAGCACAGAATGTGGTCGCGCCTAGGGGCAATGATGGCAAAACCTATCGTGAGTGGGCAAATCTCTTTTAAGTATATCCACCTAGTTTATTTGGCTAATTTAATAATCTTCCACTAAAGCTACACCCGATGTATCTCGCTATCAATATGATGAAACCTCCGGCTACTATTACGATCCCAGCACGGGCTTGTATTACGATGCGCACTCGCAGTACTATTATAACAATGAGACGGGCGCCTATTTGTACTGGGATCAGCGGCGGAGCACGTACATATTGGCCACGCCGGCATCAACGCAAGCCGCACTGGCGGAGTCACTGGCCCAGGAATCGCACGCTGAAAAGGATGAGGAGGCGGCTAAGAAGGAGAAGGGCAAAGACAAGGATAACAATAAGCATGATAAGGTCAAGGTGGCCAAGAAGATCGTCAAGGATATGGAAAAGTGGGCCAAACAATTAAATCAGAAAAAAGACTATACTGTGGTGGCCACACCGCAGCCCATATTACCTGGACGCGGTGATCCCGGCGAGGGGCCGAGCACATCACGCGCTGCGGCTGGCGCCTATGCAGACGTGGGCTTCTCTATACTCGAAAAGAAAGAACGCGGCAAGCTGGGCGACTATGTGCCTACGCCAGCCGCTGCACCAATTAATAAATTGGTAAATGCCTATGGCGGCGGTTCCGATTCCGATGAGGACAATGGCGGCGCGCAGGGTGTTGGCGGCGGAGGCGGCAACGGCGGACCTGTCGATGAAATGGACTACGTAGACTTCCAAAAACTAACCTGTCTGCTGTGCAAACGTGCCTTTCAATCACATGATATACTACAAAAGCATTTAAAAATGTCCAATTTACATAAGGAGAACTTGGCTAAGCTCAATATGGAACGCGGTGCCGGCGGCAGCAGCGAAGATGCAGCGGGCGCAGGACTATCGTAAGTCTCAAAATAATATCACATATATATTTCATTTATAAACAAACTCAACCAACAGGTATCGTGACCGTGCCAAGGAGCGACGACTCAAGTATGGTGAGGGCGATCCGCCGCCGCCAAATCGCAGTCGTGAGCGCTTCGAACATGAGATCAAAAATATGCAGACACGACAGAAGGATGGCGGTGCTGCGCCCGCTATGCCCATCAGCTCAAATAATGTGGGGAATCGTCTGCTGCAGAAGATGGGCTGGTCGGAGGGTCAGGGTCTGGGGCGCAAAAACCAGGGACGCACGCAGATCATTGAGGTATATCAATTAAAAAAAAATTGCGTTTATCAATTACATTAATCTTCCATTTTACAGGCCGAGGCGCGCTCGAACAATGTGGGACTGGGCAACAAGAGCAGCACTCTGGCGCCTGGTGACGATTACAAAACATACATTAAGAAAATGATGAAATCACGCTATGAGAATGCTTAAATTGGTTATTTATTGGGTTTGATTCGATGATATCATTTGAATTGTGCATACAAATTGTTTACCTCAATTTTCATTACGTTACATGTCATACCAATCGCATAACTTAGCTGAAATACGTTTACTTTAGTAATCATTGTATATAATAAATATATATAATTTAATATATGAAAGTTAAGTGAGTTTTGTGTTCAAAATTGAAAAGTGATCGATAACAAGCGATAAATTTAACTGACAAAACCGCTAAGCTGTTGGTATTTTTGGCGTGCTTATTTTGGTGTTTGCAAAATGCGGTCACACTTTTCTGCGTTAACGTGTTGTTTACGTTTTGTGTTGCACGTGTTTTAACTATATTATTATTATATATAAAACAAGCGTGTGCCAAATGAGTTCTAGCAAGATACCGCCGTTGACCTACAAGGTTGTGGCCGAGTGCTCCGTGTCCAAGGCGCGCGCCGGCTTTATGACGCTGAGGTATATTTTCAAAAGGAGTCTTCTTTCTATATTTACCAAATAATACTTTTTTTTTAGGCATAGTGAAGTGCGTACACCTGTATTTATGCCCGTGGGCACACAGGGCACTTTGAAGGGCGTGCTGCCGGACCAGTTGATCGAGCTGGACTGCCAAATTCTGTTGGGCAACACCTATCATCTGGGCCTGCGACCCGGCATTGAGACCCTGAAGCTCGCCGGCGGGCTGCACAACTTCATGGGCTGGCCACGAGCCATACTGACAGACTCGGGTGGCTTTCAGATGGTCTCGCTGCTGCAGCTGGCCGAGATTGATGAGCGCGGCGTCAACTTTCGCTCGCCGTTCGACAACAGCGAGTGCATGCTGACGCCGGAGCACTCCATGCAGATACAGAACGCCATCGGGGCGGACATAATGATGCAGCTAGACGATGTGGTGAAGACGACAACGACGGGTCCGCGCGTCGAGGAGGCCATGGAGCGCACCATTCGCTGGGTGGATCGCTGCATTGAGGCGCATGTCCGCGACGATGATCAATCCCTCTTTCCGATTGTCCAGGGCGGCCTGGATGTACCGTTGCGCGAGCGTTGCGTGAGCGCACTAATGGAGCGTCAGGTGCGCGGATTTGCCGTTGGCGGCCTGAGCGGGGGTGAGAGCAAGCATGACTTTTGGCGCATGGTGCACGTGTGCACGGATCGACTGCCGCGCGACAAGCCGCGTTATCTAATGGGCGTGGGCTTTGCCGCCGACCTGGTCGTATGTGTGGCCCTGGGCATCGACATGTTCGACTGTGTCTTTCCCACGCGCACAGCCCGCTTCGGCTGCGCTCTGGTGGACAGTGGCCAGATAAACCTGAAGCAGCAGAAGTACAAGCACGACATGCAGCCCATTGACGAGGCGTGCGGGTGCAGCACCTGCAAGCGCTACACACGCTCCTACCTGCATCACATTGCCACAAGCGAGACCGTCTCCTGCTCACTGCTCAGCGTCCACAATGTGGCCTATCAGCTGCGCCTGATGCGCTCCATGCGGGAGGCTATTCAACGCGACGAGTTCCCACAGTTTGTTCGTGATTTTATGGCGTGTCACTTTGGACGCGATCCAATACCCGGCTGGATACGTGAGGCTTTGGCAGCGGTGAAAATCGAACTGCCGCCCGATGCAGCAGAGGAGCAAGCGGCGAGCAGTTGATGACAAATTAACTTATTGTGTATGCAACAAATAGTATAAATTCAATCTATTTATCTATTTTCAAGAAACTCTTATTATTTTGTTAGTGTATTTAAAGGCCAGTTTCCCTTTTTTGTTACGACACGTAAAAGCTTATGGCCATTCGTGTCTGGCGTCAAAAGCTCTTGGCTTACCTATGGGAAAAAGCTTACCACACATGACGCATGCGAGACATCGAACGCCGCATGAAAGAGGATCAATTTATATTCAATGTGTACTCTATTCTCGCTTTTCTTTCATGCCGTATGGTACTTGAATGTGTCCACAGACATACAGACAAATATGTGTGTATGAGTGTGTGTGTGTGTGTATGCAAATACATTGTATGTACTTGTTTGTGCTGCTGTTCAAATGTTTACCCCCCTCCCTCCCACTATAAAAAGAAACGTGCGCTTTTTGGGTATTGCTCTTTTGCTCTCTTGCTCTCTGACTCTCACGAGCGCTCGCATATGCGTCAGAGACGGAGATCAGCAGGCATTTCAGCAGTCGCGGCCAGTCTGGCTGTTTAGTGTGTCTCAAAGCGTCGTCATCGTCGGTGATCGCGCGGTTGTTGTCGTTGCGCTGTAACGGTTTTTGCAGGCGCTCAGTCTACGCATTTTAGCGGCCATTGGCAGTTAATACACCTCCCCGCCTCGCCAGCTTTTATGAAACAAACGTGTTAATAATAAATAAAAACAGATTGCAAATTTGAATCCAATACCAATTGTAAGATATTATTGTTGTTAATTTATAGCCACAATCAATCACAACACAATTGCAAGTGCGTGCGTGAGTGAGCGTGAGTTGCTGTTTTTGTTGTTGCTGCTGCTGGAGTTCTTGGTGTGCGTGCGTGTGTGTGTGTGCGAGTGTGTGTGCTGGGACTTAACGTGCTACGTTCTGCCTGTTGCCAAATGTGGTCAAAGCAAAATAACAAAAATATATATGTGCATACACACATATACATACATATTTGTATATGTATATGTATTTATTCAAACATTCACACAGAACTGTGCATTGTAAAGTGCTTTTTATGGCTTGAAATTTTGCGAGTTTTTGTCGCATTTGATGTTCTTTGCATTTCGTTTCGTCGAGAGCTTTAAGCGTCACACAGCCTGCACAACTTCTTATTGGATTCGCGGCAGAACTTAATGTGACGGACATTCGCGTTAACCGCCCAATTGGACTCTATATGCTTTCATATTTGTGCACCCATTTACAGAGGCAGAAAATCATGTGCAAATTAGGCAAAGTCCAAGGCCCCCTTAGAAGAATTTTCCTTTTCGTAGGAACATTTTCACGGTTGGTTCGGAAAATTTCAGTTTCTCTTTATTATTTGTATTTTACTAGCCATCGTTTTGCCTTTGGTTTAGCCTGTGTTTTTGATTTTTCATGGTTTCATTTCTTTAAATAAGTTTTATTTTTAGCATTTTTAGTTATTTTTGTGTATTTTTTTTCTCACCAACTTTTTGCTTCTGTTTCTGTTTGCTCGCTTGATTATTTTCGAATATTCTTGGCGATTCTTTGGAATATACACAGCGGCCACTTGGTAAATACATACATTTTATGTGTGTGCGAACAGATTTGTGTATGATACGTAATTTGTTGTGCCGCAATACAGGGTGTAAAAGGGCCTGGAGCTGCAGGTGAACGTATCGAATTGGAATGTTTCTTATACAAAGTCGCAGCCTCCAGCTGTCAAAAAAAGCTCAGCCAAATGGAAACTGTCTGGTAAACTTTTTGTTGTTTACGTTTCAACTCCTCTTTAACGCTATGCCCAGAAAGCCGAAAGTCCCATTGGCCACACTGTTTGTTACAACAAAAGGGATTATAAAAAAGGCAGCGATTATGATTGAACAAAAGAAATCAAATAAAATAAAGATTGTTGGCCTCCAAAAATGAAAAAGTAAAAAAAAAAAAACAAGAGTTCGCCTTGCTGTACGTGCTTGTGAGTGTATGTATAAGTGTGGAAGAGTATAAAAACAAATGGCAAATTACCAAGAAGAGAGTCAAACGCCGCAGCAGCGCTAATCATAATCGTAATCACTTACTCACATACACACACACTTGCACGCAGACAGACACATATGCAAACTGTCAATCTTTACCGTTAGCAGTCTATCGTTTCTGCAGCTTTTATTTGTATTTTTAAATTATGACACACAAAACAGCCTCGTTCGCGCTCTCTTTCACTCACTCTCCAACACTCTCGTTTAAAAAAAAGAGAGCGCACACAACTCTTTGAACAGCTGCTGAGTGGGCGGCGCAGACGTAGGCGGTGGCCGGTGCTGTTGTTGTTGTTGCCGTTGTTGTTGTCGTTGTCTTCAAATTTGCCACACTTGATTCAAATGAGCCGCAAAACGGTGCTCGTCATAAATAGGCAAAGAGCAGATAAACACGAAGAACTGTTGTGGCTGGCAATTAAGCGCAAACTAATCGCAATGCGGTTGGAAGAAGCAACACATAGAGGAAATATACTTTAGAGCTTTATTTTTTGTTGTTTTTCAGTTTCCAGTGTTGTTATTGTAATTGATTGATAACAATTTTTTAGTGTTGTCACGGTGCGTTTAACGAGTGTTAAAAATAAAACGTAATTAATACATGTTCCCTTGTTAAACAAGTGTTAATAAAAAGTGTTGCAAAATTACATTTGAATTAAATTTTCATCGTGCATCAATATTTATAACAAATACAATTTGCATACACACACACACCGAAATTATTCCATTAGCAAAAAAAAAAACATAACTAAAACTAGTTTTCAGAGTCGTATGCAAATTTTTGAAATTCTAAAAATCTACAATATGTTTGTTGTATTTTGCTTTTTTAATAGTTATTCTATGCAAATGGCATAAATACACGGTTTATTATTTCCGTACGTTTTAAATACAATGCCAAAACAAACGGAAATTGAATATATTGTAAAGAATTTCTATGTATATTCAGTAGTCCAGCGTATTTCTCAAATTGTGACCAAAAAGTAAAAAAAAATTGCATAAGTTTTCGAGATTTTGTTGTCTTTTTGTGCAACAATCTTGAACCGAAAGCAACGTCGTTGACCGCCCCCTGGACCCGAGTGCCATTCCAAAATGTGATTCATTTGAATGAAACGGCTCGCACATGTTTTCTCCAAAAATATTTTGTATTGCGATGTGGGAGTCTCCACTGTGGACAGTTTTTTAGCTCTCATTTACGCTTAGTCATTTCGTCTATTTTCGTAACGGATTTTCGGCTTAGAAACACCTACAATGCAACATTCTGGAATCAAATGTTGGTTTTTTAAATCATTTATAAAAATATTATTTTTTTGGCCATTCGAGTTTGTTTGCCTAAATGTTATGCTTGGCTTTTATTGATGTTGGCCTTTTTTTTTGGTTTACAAAAAATATGTTGTTGTTGTTTTTTTATTTTGCGCAACGTGGGTGAATAAACTTTACGCTGTTTGACTTTTTTGCCTAATTTTAAATACATCAAAAAATAGCAAAATGGCAACAATAACAACAACAAAATGTGGTTGTCAATGAATGAAGCTGTTGTTGACTTTGAAGCGGAGAACGAGAGTGAATGAAGGCGCTTTGTGCCCAACACTCAATGCGAATCGAGTTGGTCAAGACAGAGCGAAAAAAAAGAAACAAATAATCAGTTCACTAACCTTGAAAGCTGAAACTGTGGTGTTGTGCGCTAAAAAAGTGTTGGATAATTCAACGAAATTCTTGACTTTGCAGTCGAGGAAGCGCCAGGTGTGCATCTGAACTGTACGTGGAGTGCATTTTGTTTAATAAAATACCATGACATATTTCCTGCTTCCATAACAATTATTGGCATTCTTCGGTCAATCACCATTCCAGCAATTTGTTATCAATTTGAGTGACAAATTTCAAAAGCAGAGAGTTTCTTATAAAGGAACATATCACATGTTCTGAGAGTTACATGTAATATCTGTGAAAATGTTCCTTAAGGTTTTGCCGTGCTAACATTTTCTCACTCATTTCAATATATCTGAGAGATGTTTCTGTCCTACACTGTTTTAGTGTTTAGTAAATGTCATTCCCTAAGAAAATGTAAGCAGAGGTGCAATCAAATTGGAAAAGTTACTTAAAACTTACTTATTCAACACTGTTAGTTTTCATTGATATTTATTAACACTGTTAGTAAGCTTTTCAATAAGTATACTGCTTGAGTATTTGGTACTAATGCATGTTTTTTCAGGCTCATGAAGCTGCTTCCGCACTCCCAACTTATATATTGATTAAATATATACATTTTTAAATCCATTGCAGAAGGTTTTTTTTTATAATTTTTTATTTTCATATAGTGTCATATTGAAACTATGCTTGAAAATATTGTTGTTAACATATTTTACCTATATGTTTCCAGCCATAAATTATAACTTTAAACTTGTCCATAAATCAAACAATAATATTTGTAAATATTTATATATATATAAGTATTTTTTAAAATTTTATTTTGCCCAAAATGCCGTCGCATGTGGATTTGAGTTGCGTATTCGTTTGCAAATTTATGAGCCAAGAGGCGTTTGCGATCATAAAAAGTGGATAAAAGTAAAGCGCGGCATTATAAATCAAGTTCAATTCAATTAGAGCGCATGGGGCGCCATAATTTTTGCGCTGGCCTCATAACCTACGACAATTTATTAATTTTAGCTCGCACAGATATGTCTAAAGTGTAATTGTTGTGCGTGTGTGTGTGTGTTTGTTTGTCTATACTGAATAACTAGAAATTGAAATTGCATATGCAAAAATGGCAAAAATATTGCACTAAAACCAGCAAGAAAGCCTTAAGCTGAACCAATAAATACCCTATACTGATTATAGACCTGAGTCTACAGTAACTAAACTATTAGTTTTTAGCATGGAATGACTCCCAACTTATTCAGAAATTATTAATATATAATCTTATTTATTTAAATTTTTACTGACATTTTCTTGTCATTTATTTGTAAAAACAATTTATTGATTTACTGTATTTTCTTTTCCTTCTAACTTGACTTCATCACAAAAATACCTTTATCTTCGATGGCTTTACAACACTAGATTTTGTGGCTGTTGACTTTTGAAAGTTTACTTCACTGTTTACACTGACTTACAGTATATTAAAATAAACTAGAGACTTGTAAACTTCGTTACATACCTTTGTACAACTTTGAACATGCTGCTTTACATAAATCTGTAAACTTACAGGGTATGCACGACATTAAAAGCATTTCAATAATGTTATTTAACATACATACAGCATATATTTTTGTAGCTCTATATGCATATGAAATTGCCATAAATTGTTAAACAAATGTTATATTGTAATTAATAAGCAACGAATTCGATTTGCCGTGTGTGTGTGTGTGTGTGTGTTAATAATTTATGCGGAAGTCTCGCCCACACAGAAACATGTTGTAATTGTCAATGCAGGTGAGGGATGGGTTGGATGTGGATACTTTTATAATATTCGCATCAGCATGAATTTATATCCATACAACACTCATTATTTTGCACGAACAATGCGAATGTTGTTAATAATTCAATAACAAACACCAAACGAATCGTGCGCGAAAAATTTTTCAATTAAATTGTCAAAAAGGAAAATCATAAACTTTTGCATATACATAGAAATCGGGATGGAAACAGATAAAAAATAAACATATATTCACCTTGCGTAATAATTTTCAAGAATTATTTTTGGACGCACGCAAATTTCTTATTAAAAAAAAAACCGAAATTCGCCAGCGCCAAAATGTGTGGAAAAATTATATTTATGGTCGCGACGCGATGGCCTTGCCTGATACCCGAACGCCCCAAGCGCCCCACGCCCACGCCCCAAGTCAATGTGGCACACATTTGGCACGATTCAATGATCGATAAATAGATAGATATCGGGGCATAGCAATTATATGCATATCGTATGAGAATATATTACAGACGACAGTCGACAGCCGAGCAATGTCTGGATCGCTGATCAATCGAGCAAATTGCGCGCATTATTGACAGCGCGTCCCCCCATGAGACATCGAATTTCGATTAAGATTTGGATTCAAGGCAGCAAATTGGCAGCAGACATTTGTGCTGAAATTATTGTTGTGTGTGTTGTCAAAGCAACAAGTTGAGAAGAAAACACAAAAAAAAAAAAAATGATATACCAAGATGAAATCAGTTAAACTCAAGGCTGGCAATTGCATTGAGACTGGATTGTCAGGCGTTGACATGTTGAATGTTAATGAATCGGACTTGGGAATGCCATTAATTTCAACTTGAACTTGATTGAGGGCAATTGAAATTATAAATTTTCTGGATATGTAACTGATACACATAAGAAGAGCTTAGTTTTTAAATTTTGAATGTTGCTTAGCGCATAAAATGCGCTTGATGTTAACAATTTTAACATGTTTTCAACAAATCTATCAACTTTAATTTTCCAAATATCTGTAGGAAATACAGTTTTCCAATTCCAATAGTTTTTTTAATTTAATACCCTTCGGGATAACCATAGCTAGGCTTTTGTATAAAGTTAACAGTGTCAAGGCTCTGTTAATCTGCATTGCCTCTGTTAAGTGGCGCTGCCTACAGGTCTGTTAAAATGTTATATTTTTGCTAAGTAGTTTTATGTTAACCTTCCACGCAAGTTAACAGTATGTTAATGCGAACCTTAGAAATTGAATTTGAAATATTTATTTTATAAATACAATCAACAATTTCTTTGTTCTATTAAATAATTGCCTTATATTAATTAACGATTGCTGAATTCTGATATGATAAATGCGGCTCTTTTGTTGTGGCTAACGTAAAATTCTTCTCAATTTCGAGCTCGATTAACTTTTCACTATGAAATGTCTTATTTATAGTTGATTATATATTTTGAATGACTGCGCCTAACCGCAACTAGAAGAAATTAATAGATGAAGCATATTGTGTTGCTTTAAGCGCAAACCAGGAACACAGTTCAAATGATATACAATATATATACATATAGATAAATATATATATGCTACACATTGCTTTTAAGTGTTTTCTATTCACAGTGATCTGCTGTTCCTCAGTATTTAATGAAGACATTCATAAATGTCATTGTCAATTCTAATTCTTGTGCTTGTTTGAACTCAATTGAAATTTTAGCGCTTTGGCTAAGGTCAATGCAAATTGGCTAGCGCACAGAATTTCATACTGTCTGTACATAAACATATGAGTATGTGCTTATATAGAGTGTATATATATATGTATATATTTGTATCTGTATGGATATGTACTTAGTCTTGTGTATATTAAAAGAGTTTCCCGGCGCTTGTGTCTTGCCGTGCTGTGCTGTTTGTTTGTTAAATGTTTTAGCGGAAAATAAATAATATTAATTCTATTTGTAGTTTTGCATACGCAAATATTTAATTTAAATGTGCTCATAAATTTAGATATCTCTCTGTACTCGTCGTCGGACTTGCTCAACAAAATCCCCAATCTTTGAGCTCTGAATGTGTGTGTGTGTGCGTGTGTGCGTGTGTGTTGCCTTTTCTGTACGCTCTCGAGTGCTAAAATTAACAAAACGTGTGGGCGGTTTAGCATTGAACATGGCCAAGGCTTGTGACGTGCTATTGGAGGCGACTATCATCATAATACTTATGGGCGATTTTTATAAGTTTCACAACAAAACTAACCCAACATATGTATCAATATACATATCCAAATATTTGAGTTTGACCCGACTACTTGGCCCAAAGAACTTGCTGCAATTTGGACAGAATCCTTCTTATGAGGGTAAAGATTGGTCAAATATTGTAAGGCAACAACAACAGCAATAACGCAGCAAAAAAAGTGTGTGTGCATTAAATGTCTGTCGCGTCGGACCAACAAGCGAAAGGTCGCCGGTTCAAATTTTGACTGCAGCTTTAAAATTAGTTTATATGTTTTTTTTAATTTGTTATTATTAACTTTCAGAAGATACCACAGAAAAGAAAACAACAAACAGACAACAAAATGTATGTGCCATTATAGAAAGCAGGAATTTTGGAGCAGTATCATAGCTACTAAGTAACGCCCGGAACTAGAAACATATATATACACACATATATATATGGACTTCAGACAAATGATATATAAACTTGTAAGTTCTAATGAATTAAAAATGGAATTGCAATTAATTTGAAACATTTTGCATTACAGACCTTAGAGCAGAGCGCATAGAATTAAAGACGTCGCCTTTTTGGGAACTTCATATAACTATATAAAGCAACTCAAAACCTCCCACACACACACATACACAATGGGCAAAGATTACTATAAGACTTTAGGCCTAACAAAAACTGCCACCGATGATGAGATCAAAAAGGCCTACAGAAAACTGGCGTTACGTTATCATCCCGATAAGAATAAAGCCGCAAATGCTGAGGAGAAATTTAAAGAGGTCGCCGAGGCATACGAAGTGCTCTCGGATAAGAGCAAGCGCGACATTTACGATAAATATGGCGAGGATGGACTGAAGAGTGGCGGTAAGTTAATGAATATACTATCATAATTTATAAAATATCCTGATTTCCAATCATTTATTATATTTCTAGGTGCTCGCAATGGCGGCGGCAGTGGCAAAAATACATTTACATATCAGTTCCATGGTGATCCGCGGGCCACATTTACACAGTTCTTTGGCAACAGTAATCCGTTTGCCTCGTTCTTTGATATGGGCGACAATCTGTTTGATAAGAATGTTTTCGATTTGGATACGGAACCCGATTTCTTCTCATCGCCATTTGGCGGCTTGGGCTCTAGGCATGGCCTAGGCAGCGCCTTCAGGTAGTTTTAGTCTGCTTTGAAATTTGTTTCATATTTGCTAAGCTTTCGTAGGCCCTCTTTTAGATCACACTCCTTCAATGTGCACACCCCCTTCAAAAAGGAACAGAAACAGGATCCACCCGTCGAGCATGATCTCTATGTCACGCTGGAGGAAATCTATCATGGCTGTGTTAAGAAAATGAAAATCTCACGTCGTGTTGTCCAGCCCGATGGCAGCTCCAAGAAGGAGGACAAAGTCCTGCAAATATCTATTAAACCCGGCTGGAAATCGGGCACCAAAGTCACGTTCCAGAAGGAGGGCGATCAGGCGCCCGGCAAAATACCAGCGGATATTGTGTTCATCATTCGGGACAAGCCACATGCCATGTTCAAGCGCGAGGGCAGCGATTTGCGGTACACGGCGAGGCTGACGCTCAAGCAGGTGAGTACCCAAATATGCAGAGGTTCAATTATTGACATACTATAAAGAGCGCTTAGCGGGAATGTGTCTATAAAGATGCTTATCAATCCATTATAAGCTCGTAGCAGGTATAAATGTCTAATAAGAAAGATAACTCTATAAAGTACTATATACTCTTGATCATTATCAGCAGCTAAGCTATGGGTGTCCATATAAACTACTCTTTCAGCTTAGAAGTTATGGTTATAGGTCTTTTTTGTTGCAGTCAGTATATAAATCTGAGTCCTTAGGATTGCGCCCATATATCATATAGTTGGCATATGAAAAAACGTTCGAAAGTTAAGTATTTTGTTTTCTTATCTACAACGAAATGCTATACCATATAGATCTAAAGCAAGAATCTGTCGATAATTGGGTTTATTTATGGAAAACGCTTTTGAACAAGCTCAGCAATTAAGAATAAGTCTTGGTAGTCTCCAAATATATATGTATCTATATCCATATCATATGCCTTCTATCGGAACAATCAGTTGCAAATAAAATCCCTTCTAAGCTTCTAAACTTCTTCAAGGCAATTTAATCAAATGCCAAGCTTAACAGACCCACCTTCAGTTTGTGCTCGGGCGAATTATAGCTACCTTTTTGGCAGGTTGACATATTTGTTTGCCTAGAACTCAAATAGAAAGCAACTGTCATGCGTTTGCTTTCCAATGAAAAAATATGAGCTTGAAGAAACACAGATGATAGTCATATTCTAGAACTTATATAATTGAATAGTCATTTGGAGATATTACCAAATTCCGCAATGTGCAATCATAATTATCGCGAGCCGCACACAAAAAACCGTGTCAAATATTTCTAAATAGAAACAACAACATGACACTTTTAGCTAAACTGAGACTCTACCAAAATGGTAATCATAATTTATATACATATATCTTTATATACATAATGTTTGTCGATGAAAAATGAAAATGAAAACGCTGCCAAAATGGGCAAACTGAGACCCCAAAAATATTTACTAAATTTGTCGCACTAACAAGCAATAAAATGTTAAAAATGTCGAAACTTAGATAGCAACTATTTAATCTAGTTAATGCAATTAACAATTTTAACATGACTACGGACTGGCCAGCATGTTATTTATTTATCTATTTTTTGTGGTAATCATTAAGTATGATTTTTTGTTTTTTTTTTGGTTTATTCGCCATATGCGAATCTTAGCGCGCAGTTTGCGCCCCAAGTTTTAACGCAGTTGGCTGTGAAAAATTTAACACCTCAGCGTCATGAACTGCCTACCAAGTTGCCACAGAGTGTGCGTACGTGTTGGCCCGACCAACTGCTGTGCCCGCCTAATTGAAACTTGACCATGTTGACCAAATTCGCCTGCCAGCCAGTTCTCAGCTCTTGGCCAGAGCCAGACTCTGGTCGGCAGCTTCAGGCGCGTATATGGTAAATTTGCCATAACCATAACGCTGATTTCATTATAATTTCATTTAGGCGCTGCCCGGCTTTAATTGGGCGCCATACTGTGAGAACCCAGCCCAAGATCGTATCATATCATATATTTTGCAATATTTGGCCAGACCTAAACGGTTGACAGCTGGCCATTAGATCAAGTTAAGGGTCGTAAGATGTCCATATAATTGTGACAGTATTCTTAATACTATAACATTTAACAGCTGGATAAGCTAAAGCTACAAATTTGCTTATAGTCGTAAAAACAGTTTTTCAGTCTCTTACAAAAGTTGGAGCTAGTTGACAAAACTCTAAATTACATTTCAATTTATTTACCGCTTCTCAATTTCGAATTTCCTGTTTGTAACACTTTAATATATTATTTTGAAAATACAGCAATGAGAATCGCATAGAAAGGTTTATGAGAAGGGAATTTAACATTCGGTACGCTGCAACAAGTTGCATTTTCTTTTTTAATCAGATTAATAGCTTGAACATACTTCATGTACATTTCTTGTCGTTTATTAAACGGAAAAAGGAGAATGAAATTGTAATTAAAATAACAAATGGTTGTCTGAATTTGGATTTTTTGTTGGCATACAAAGCGGGCCGTAAAGCAATTAAAGAGCCAAATAAGTACTACACATAATTGGCCACAACAATATTGAATTGTGCATTAAATTTAATATCGGCCATAAATTACATCATCGTTTACGTTACAGAATCTGAATTTGTAGCACGCGGTGAATAATTTTTGATGACATTTAATATTTGACTGAAGCACTAAACTAAAATGCGATCATTAAAATATTGTTGCACTGATGGCACTGACCTACAGCACATACAAATAATAGAAATAGGAGAAGTGCTTTATGGACATACTATGTGCATATACTCGTAAATTTTAGATGGAATGCAAAGTCAACAGCTCAATGGCAAAAAAAACAAAACAAAAAAAAAACAAGAACAAAATTGTTGTCGCTTTGAGTGTTGTCTGCGTCCGAAATCCGCGAATGCAGCATCATCTACCCCAAAAATTGATGAATGCCAAACAACAATTGAACGTTGGTTATGTGTTTGTCCTATGTCTATGGCTTGCTCGTGTAACTGATGGCCAGACGTCACAAATGTTGTTCTCGTTGTTGTTGTTGTTTGAAATGTTGTCTGCCCATTGCCATTGTCATTTTTGGTTGGAGAACTTTTCGACTGCATAGAATTGGTAGCTCAATACAAAAAGCATTCAACGGCTTCGTTTGCATTTTGATGACAGTCGTCAGCGTCCTTCACATTGTCAATTCTAAAAGAAAAAACAACAAAAATAAATGGTAAAATAAAAATGAAAAGTAAAAACAAGTAAAACAACAAAATGCTTTATGACATGCTATTGAATGTCGTTGATTTGTTTTTCAAACACTTTTTCAGTTTATTTTTTGAGCGAGTGTAATTGTCTCGCGTCGCGGAAAACTGGGGTAGTTTATGTGTGTTATTTCCCTTAACTAGACTAACTAATATCGAAACTGGTAACAAAGAAGTTTCGCTCGATGGAAAATCATGGTTAAATTTGGGGATATTTTTGAAAAGTGCGAACAACTGTTCTCTAGCTATTGAAACTAATCTTGCTATTTGCAAAATTAAGTATTTTTAATTATTAATGTTCACTAATTTAATTTATTAATCAATTAACATAATCTCTAACCAAACAATTTTAAGATCTTAGTTAGGTTTTATTAAAAGTAGAAGAAAGACAGTTTGTAAGTTTTGATTAGTCTTTAAGTTAAAAATGCTCACACAAGCTAAACACTAAGAAACTTAATGTAGTTAACCAATATTTAAAATGTTTATAAAATAATTTAGATTTTTTGAAATTAGTTTGGCGCCCGAGCAGGGATTTTACATGTATTTTATGTGCAGGGACATTCCATCATATAAACAGAAAACTGAGAAATGTTATATTCTACATATTTCTGAGAGTAACAAATTTGATTTTGTTAGAGAATTTTGTCTTGTAACTTTTATGGCTAAAATATGATAGTCACAAATAAAATTCTGTAAGTTTTTGTTATATTTATTGTTATGCGCAAGAACCAGTTGCCATTTAAGGCAACAGATTTGTGCCCTTATCCACCATGCCCATTCCCTTTACCCATCCAGCTGATCCAGTTGTTGCTTGTAACCGAATCGCAATTCGCATTTGTATTCCCTGTGTGCTCTGTTTTTTTTTTGCTCCAAGTTTTTATGGCTCAGCTTCCGTAAAAGGTAGCAAAGTATTTAAGCGTTTTTATGTTACAGATTTTTGTAGTTGTTGATTTTTATTTACTGCGTTTTGTTTTGTTTTTGCTTTGCGACAACATTTTTAACATTTCCATTAAAAAATATCAATGCTAACGGCGACGTCGTCGTCATCATCGGCATTTTGTGCTGCTCCTATTGTTGTTGTTGTTGTTGTTGCCGTCGTCATCAGTTTATGTTGTCATCGCTTTAAATTCACCACTCGGCGAATACTCTACATATATACATATAAACATACATACATGCATACATATATTTAAATATTCATAAGGTGTGCACTTTGCTTTTGTCGCAATTTATTTATGTTCTTTATTGGGCGAGGCAGCGGTTCGCACCATTCACAGGGCTTTATGTTCTGGACAACTGTCCGATGCGGGTAACTGGGTATCAAATCACAATGTGTGTATAGTACATATGACAAGTGTCAGACAACTGGGTGTTATTTTAGAAAGGCGTAACTGATTTATGGTATTAAATTTCGCATAAAAACGTTGAATATTTGTAATTTTAGTAAAAAGCTTTAAAAAGAGCTTATTATTATGTTAAAGAGCTTAAGCGTTTGCCAATCGATTTTATAATTTGAAAATTTTTTTCCATTATAAATTCATCCCCAAGTTTATTACAGCACATAAAGCCTAGGAAATATTAAACTTGTGAAAGTTAGCTTACTTGAAGTCCATTATATAATTAAGCTATCTTAAAGCTTAAATAATCTTTAAAGCTTATGAAAATTATAGCTACTTTAGAAAAAAAGGCGGGAGTGTAAGCTATTAACCTTTTGTGCTTTAATACATAATGTTTAGCGTAAAGCTTACCAAGCTTTAAGTTAATTTTAGCTTGCTTAGACTAAAAGTTGTAGAGCTTTATGAGTTGTAACTTCATTGTAGTTACTTATAACTTATTTAGAGCGAAAGTAATAGAGACTTACGTGCTTTGATGCATCACAATTAACTTAAAGCTTGGATGAGCTTTAAGTTATCCTGAGGAATTGAAAGAATGAGATTTGGTCGAGCCTTAACCTTCTTTTTGAGAACTAGAGCTGTTTAGAGCGAGACACTATTGGGTTAGCTTTCAGTATTTCACTAAAGTCACTTGATATATTCAAGCTAGCTTCAAGCGTTCGTCTATTTCTTGAAGCTCTCACTGAAGAGCTGCGCAAATTGCACCGAACGGAAACTTGTTAAAATATTAGTAAAACTTCTCTTTAACTTTGCCAATCACATGACTAAGAAGCCAGAAAGTTTTTCTCTTCAATTATGAGCAAGTTTCGTTCACTAATTAAGTTGGCCACATTAATATCTCAATCCAAGCAAATCATGATTGATAGCTATCTTTTAGCTGGCCAATTAAACAAATCGAATGTCGGCTGTGGCAAATGAAATCGTCCCGTGCCAAAAGTGGACAAACAAGGAATACAGTCTGTAGATTTTTGGTGCGGAGAAACATGTCAACAACATGTTTAAGCACGAATTAGGCACATAAAAAGCATAAAAAGGATTTATGCAAGACACAAAGCAAACACAATAAGCAGACGAGGGAGCATTTCTGTTCGATTCCAAACGAAATGTTGCTGCTGCTGGCTGTGGCAAGTGGCAAGTGGCAAGTCGCAGCCAAGAACATAAACAGGATTACCAAAAAGATTGATAGATTCCACAGTTAAAGCCCATGTGCGTTTGTTTGACCAGCGTTCCCTATTATTCTTTCTTTCATTCCTTTTTTTTTTGGGCACAATAACATTTTACAGGAAATTGAGTTGTTTACTTATGGGGATTTCTTTCACATTGTGCTTGATTGATAAGCCCAGCAATAGTTGAAGCATTTTATTTATATATTTATTGATACGTTTCTCTTAATATTATATTTTAGGCGCTCTGCGGCGTTGTTTTTCAAGTTCCTACAATGTCCGGCGATAAACTGCGCATCAGCACCATGCAGGAGATCATCAAGCCGAACACTGTGAAACGCATCCAGGGCTATGGATTACCCTTTCCCAAGGATACCACGCGCAAGGGCGATCTATTGGTGGCCTTCGATATACAATTTCCGGAGAAATTGACTGCCGCGCAAAAAGAAGTGCTCAGAGACATGTTATGAAGATAGAGAGAAATAATAAATGCCGCCTTAACCACGACAACGACTCACTCACAACCCGGCAACAGCTCAGTCTATCCAGTCTTCTTCTAGTTAGTCATACTAAAAACTACTACGCAATCAAAAGCTATTATTTTATCATCAAACAAATGAGCATTGAATGTGTCATCGTTCAATTTATTCGATATATTTCGTTTCGATGCGCATTTCATTTGTGTTGATAAAATATTTTACAAAAATTTGCATCATCTAATAATGCTCATTGAACCAAACACGATAAAGAAAAAAACACATCCAACCCCACCATTCATCCAGTTGCAATAATACATATGTTGACCATAGTTATTATATCGTATAATTCTTAATTTATTTGTCTAAATTAAAGCTACGTATAATAAAAACAAACATGTGAAACACAAGTGAATCGCTTAAAAACTCTTGCTGCATATCTCTTATATGGATTCAAGTCGCAAATATAATGAAATTCTTATAAGACAATTATCCATAAATAAGGTAAATATTTGTGTGTTTTGGTCGTTGGACTGTAGGTATATTACCGTTAACGACTTTTCATTCTAGTTTCTTCACATCAGCATTTAACTTAAAAGCGGCCTGGTTTCAAACAGAAGTCATCCATCAAGACATTTTCCGTTCTTTTTATCTTGAGCAAATGCACTTTTTATGCTCCTGATATAACAAAAAAGATGGGTTTCATCTAATTTCGTTACAAAGGAATAATCAGTTGAAAAATAAATAATTTTAGGATAACAAACATAAAAAATATTATGGACAGATTCGTTTCCAAAGGAACAATAAAATGAAAACAAAGGTATTTTATGAGATATTTCTAATTGTAAAATGATGTTTATTTATTTTTATTTATTTATTTTAAATATTTAATAATATGTTTTGATTCGGTAAGCTTCAAAAATATTTTATATCAGATTGATTTCCAGTGAATATGCATTTGAGTAGAGTGTTGCCAACTAGCAGTGGCTGCAGACAGTGTTGAAAAGTGGCATAGAAAGCAAGGTGCCTGCACCCAGTGTTGACATGTGGTTAAGAAAACAAAGTTGTTTAATGGATGCCTCTTGTAAACATCCTGACAGTTGCTGCAGTCTTTCAATAGTTGTTTTTGGCTATTTAGGTATTAGGCAATAGGCCCAATTGTGTTTCACAAAAAAGAAAACCAAAGTTTTTCCCTGTTTAATCAACGGGCTAAGTTTTGCGTTGGCCTGAAAGGAAAAGTGCAAATTGTGTGGTAATCGGAACGCGTTTGCCTAATTAGCTGCCGCTGCCAGCAGTTGGCAGTTGTTGCCAGTCGCCAGTTGCCAGTTCCGAGTTGCGAGTTGTCAAAGGAACTTGGCTAGCGTAGCGCTCGTTAAGTCATTAAAACTGCATGAAGTCAAAACTTTATGGTCTGCAAAGTTTGCATCAAAGCAGAAACAAACCGAAAAAAGTTTAGAAAAAGGAATGAAAAAATGCCAGGAGATGAGAAGAAAAACCTCGGAAAAGTGGGCAGCAAATGCAGAAGAAACCGAGCAACATCAAAGCCGCCAAATGGTAATTCGTTTAAAAAGGAAAGCCAAGGCCGGGGCACAGACGCATTTCATTTGCAGACAATAAACTTGACAACAACAACAGCAACACAAACGTCTAAATAAATTAAATTTTGAACAGCAGCTCTTTGCATACAAAATAGACGCCCCAGAAGCTGCCTCAGATTTCAGAACACATGCCACAAGCGTCGCGTTGCCTGCAACCGATACTTGGGAGCCAAAGCATTGACAGCTAAAAAGTTGTCGAAATGCACGTGCCCCGTGGTCCTGTGTCCCTGAGAATCTCTGGCACACTCAGTCTCCGTTTGAGCCTGGCCAACATTGTTACAATTCGTAGCGATTTTCCACTTATTTTAAAAACGAGAGATCTCTCCGTGTTTGTAGGCTTGTGTGCACAGTGAGGTGGTGGTGGTGGTGGGGGGGGGGGGGGGGGGGGTTGGGGGGGGGGGGGGTGTTGCATGATGAGCTGGGGCACAGCTAACGTTGCCGAAATCTCGAATCTCGGCATCATCATCGACAACTGGCAAATGTGTGAATTGAATTTTCAAACAATTTGCCGTCAGTCAGTGGCAAAGTCAGTTGCAGTTCCAGAGTTCCCCCCCTGTGAGTGTGAGTCACCCTGTTGCCTGGCCAAGCGCTTTACAATTTCTGTGCGCACTGTTTTCATATACCCTAACAAAGAGTGTGTTGGATGTTTCTTGATATGCAGACATGGCCCTTATCTATAAAGCTTATCTTTATTAGATAAGTTAAGATTTGAACACAAGTTAAAAACAGCTCAATGGGCTTACTATATCGTACACATAGCTACAATAGAACCTTTACTTACTTTATCTTAAGATGTCTTGACTTAAAATAATATTAAAATAAATTTAAGTAAAACTGAGCACGAAGTTTAGGGATCGAATCCACCATGAAGATGGAAAACCAAAAAGTTTATATTAGATAACTTTCTGTTACAGGGTATTTCACGTTTGGTAAACCTGAAAACAAAGCAATTTCTTCTATTCTTTCTGTTGGTTTCGTTTCTGGTTCGGACTTGGAACGTGCATGATTTGAGATTTGATTTGCTGTGCGGCTGTGGCAAACGCGTTTTGGGCTACATTACAACCACGGCGGCTGCTCCTGCTGCTGCTGCTGTTGCCGCTGATCCTTGCACCTTAACCCAACTGCCGGCATTGGCTTTGTTTGTCCTGTGCTATCCTGTCCAATTCGTTTGTGGCGGCATTTTAAACATTTTGCTCACGTTTCGGATGTTTATGCCATTAGCGTTTAAGTTGCCATACAAAATGCGTCTCGTAAATAACGAAACGGTTTCGATTTTCCCATTGTATTCAACTCAGCGGGGAGGGGAGGGGGGGGGGGGGTGTGTGTGTGTGGTGGTTCGAGGGTCGTGAAGATTGTTGGATTTGTAATCGATGCTATTGCTAAGTTATTAGACATTATTGTAGAGCTAGGACAATAAAAAAATTAAATAAATATACGTTACGATATTACGATAATATAATATAATATTATATATAATAGAAAAAATAGAAAACCAATAATTTATTTATAATTCAAATTTACCTTTAAGAACTCTTATAAGATGTCACAGATTTCTTCTTTCCTGATGATATGTTGAACTCTTGAAAGTAGTGTTTGTATTTTTCTATTCGGAGTATTATTTTTACTAATTTTGAAATGTTGTATGAAATTGTAATCATATTTAAGCGGGGCTAGGTTTTCAAAGGGCATCAGTTAAGCTATATAGTCATTTATTTAAGGGAATATCGCTAATATACATTTAAGATACATATTAAAAATAATAGGTTTTGCAATGGCAATAGGGACAGCAATGGGTGCTGCAGGAACAGAGCTTAGGATCCGTTTGATCTGAAGCTTCCGACATGCCACTCCCATTGCTAGCCGGTCTCGCGTCCGTTGCCGATTCCGTTTGCTCCTGATGAATACGCGCCTCAACGGAATGAATCCCAGTGCTCGAACCATTCAAGTTCAACTCATATGTGCAATTGGCTTGCAGGGACAAAATTGGCTGTTCCGCCTGCTTATTGGACTTTTGAGTAGCCGTCTGCCTTCTGTATACGGTTCGTTTCTTTGAGCGCTTCTTCCGCCTCATCGGACAAGTTAGGATCTTGGTATATGTGGGCTCTGTGATGGCCGCCTGTATTTCAGACTCATAGAGCCGCTGACGTTTCTCAGCTGTTTTCTTTCGTGTGGCAATAAGCCTATATCGATTGTTCAAATCGTCTATAGTTTGGAGTGTCTCCTCGAAGGCCACCTCCAGCTGCTCTACAGTGTGCAGAGTCTCCCAAAGTAATGTTTCCTTTATCATTTTTACACTAAAAATTTGATTTATGGAAAATGAATATTTGATAGAAAATGCCAAAATCTAAACCGAAAATGTTAAAAAATATATACTCCATATTTCTCGAGTTCCCTAGCAGAAACTTCAGCTTTATACGATTGGGGCTTTTCTTATTTATTACAAATAAAATAATAGACATTTTCAAAAAACATTATTTCAGTGAATATTCAAACCTTTAATATATTGCTGATGGCTAAATTGCAACAAAGTCGAATCGGTGTAGATTTTGACTCAGCTACTAGCCTAGAATTGGGAAATTTTAAAAGTTTACAAAAAAATATCTTAAAATTGAAGTGTAGCACACTTAGAAACAAGATCAATTTCTAAAACCTTGATTAGTATCTTTTGCATATACGATAGAAGATAGAGAGAGAGAATTTACTTTTAACGTGGCACGGGTAATGCCGGGTAATACGCTATTTCCTATATAGACATAAGTCGAAATTTCCACTCCCATAACTCGGTCAAATCTTATCCGATTTTCACAAGGTTTGGCTCTTAGTTCATAGTATCGGGTATCAGTTCATCAGGCAATATTATTCCTGTTTTTAGGTTTTCTCTGTTTTGCTTCAAACTTAGTTTGAAAGCTCTACATAAGAACTTAATCAATAAGTGTTTTACCATCCAAACGCTTTCAAACTAATTTTCAAAGATCTTTGAGAGAATTTATTTTATACGTACCACTGCGAGCGCCGTGTTATGCCCGCTAGTATTATTATAAATATATATTATGATTTGTTATTTTTTAGTTAGACTAGCGTCAGCTTAGATATCCGACTCGCATTTCTATCAACTTGGAATTTGTGGCTGCTCTTTTCTAATCAGAATCAAATGCCAACGACGGTCAATCAGTCAAGCGCTTAATAACGGATTGCAGCTGGCTCTGAGTGTGTGTATGTGTGTGTGAGTGGGGCTGGTGTAAAGAGTAGAGGAGAAGATAAGCAGAAGTCGAAGCAGGAATAAAATTTATAGCATATCTAACACGCATACATCATTTTGATATGCATGCCACGGGCACGTTTGCGAGTATTTGCTTAAGAGTTGAACCAAAAGTGGAGGAGTGGTAATCAGGGGGAGGGTGGGTGTTGGTGTGGCTATGGCAGCTGCAGCATTAAGCGCGGCCAGTGGCGTAGTTTGAAGGGGTTCGGGCACACTTCGCTGTGCACCGCACACGGACAGACACATTAATTTAGCTGCTGCTCTCGCAACCGCATGCAATTTTTCTTCGACTTGGGCTGCTGCTCCTACTGCCTTTCAATGGCAGGATGTGTAGTGCGCTCCGGTCAGGCCAGGACGCAGGCACATCCCATCCAGCCAAGCAAGCAACCGGAAGGCAGCCGCCAGTAGTGTGTGTGTGTGTGTGTGGCTGTGAGGCATTCAGTCAGTTAGTCAGTCAGCCAGATAAGTGCGGTTTATGTGCGGCACGTAGCCCGTCTCAATACAGTCAATAAATTGCCGCTGCGTTGCACTGTTAACTGACCAAAAAAGGATGTGGAATGGGGAGGGAAGGGGGGTGGGGCGGGGGTATAGCCAGGGTTAGCATGTGGTCCATTGTGGAAATTGATGCTGCGCATTTTTTTCTACACTTGGCATAGGTTAAATCAATGCGCTTTAAACACTTGAACTAAATGCCAGAAATTTCAAATTCCATAAACAGTAATCACTCAATATGATAAACTTGTTGGGCAATAGATTGTTATAAGTTTAGGGGGCATATAAACAGTGTTTGCTATGCTCTTTGATAGAAGTTAGAAAAGATATAAACACTTTCATTCATTTTAATTAAGATTGGAAAATCTGTTTTATGTTTTACAATATGTTATCTGGACTTTGGACTATAAATACCTTTGAATTGCATTAAAATAAATCAATAGGGAAAACGCTACAATATTTTTTGAAAAAGCCATTTTTGCTATGCCTAAAATAATGTATTGAAAGCTGGGAACTAAAATTTTGATAAGGCTTACTTTATATTTATTTTGATATCCACCTTAGAAATGTTCAATTTTAAGCAAACTGTACGTAGCTTAAAAATATTAAATTGAAAAAGACTTTTTGTTGCTTTATAATTGACAAACTGGAAGCAACATGTATTGTAGAGACGTCCGTTACAGGGAGGTACCACTGTACATTGCTTGCAAACCGAAACCGAAAATTGCAAACAGTTGCCAGGTTCTGTGTAAAATTCCAATGCAAATTAACTCTATATTAAGAGCACATTAATGAGCAGGGGAATGCCTCGAAGCTACAACAACAATAACAACAACAACAAGCGGATGTTGGTAAACAGGAGCTGTGGAAGAGATCAGGAGTTGGAAGTCCTTTAGCCAACGCATATTATAAATCAGAGCGCGCCTCACTGCGCATAGACAAGCAAATTGCGAGTGTTTTTCCCAAACTCCCGGCTGCTTGGCATAGCTAACAACATTCCAGAGGAAAAGCCTGCCGGAAAATATGTTATTAATTCAAATTAATATAATCCAATTTTTTTTTTGCTGCTGCTGCCTCTTCTGCTGCTTCGGGTTGCCTTTCCCTGTTCGCCTGCGCTGCGGAAATGGAAACTACTTTCTCAGCCGCTGTCAGGGCTGTGCGCATTATGAATAGATGTTTTTCACAACCCCTGCACCCCCCGGCAACCCGAACAGCCCTCTCCCCCCACACTTCGTTGACTCTGTGCTTGCCGTGTGTGTGCCATGATGTATTGGCACGGTCGTATCTAGGCGGACTTCTGCTTGCGGTGCCTGGATTTAGTTTCATTTTTATTTTTTATTATTATTATCATTTTTTTCTTTTTGTTGGGTGCGTTGCAGCTGTGGGCGTGGCAGTTAATAATGTGCAGATATGCCAGCTATGACAGCCCCTAATTTGTGCACATTTTTCACATTTTGCCATTAAACTTCTGCCTTTCGGTTTTGGGATTTATCATGCTGGGCTTTTGACTACCCGGTCATCATATTTTATACATCCATACATAAGATCCATTTTGAACATGCCATATGTATCAACTTAATGGCTTAGAATGGGCATTAACAAGATTTGCATAAGCCCTGTAAACAAATATTTATAGTTAGCAACTGACTACGCATTTGCTTGATATTTAGGAAAACACATTTTGTTTTTGTAATCAGTTTTTAAGAAAGTGTTTTCTTTGTCGTTCTATTATAAAATAAGCTAGATGGAAATTATTAAGTAGTGTTGTGAAACTTTTAAGTCTTAAGCAACATATTGTTACGGATCGTTCGCTGAGTTATTAGTATGGACCCTGAGTTGCGGACCTTAAAGTTTCACGTGTGTGTTGTAAAAGTTATGAAAGCCAGAGAATCTCTTGTTTAAATTTAGGATGTGCCTTAATAAATTTTTGTCTGCTTGTATAGATTGGCTGTTGATTTAGGCAGCGTTGCCCAACACTGTCCGTCGGGCACTTAAGTAACAGCTACTTAGCATAACTGCGGCATATTCGAATAAGCGCAGCTGATCCCCCGAGCAAATAATTGTGAATGCCGAACATGGTTTGTGTCTTAAATGAAGTGAAAGTCGTACTTTTTATTTGTATTAAATATTTACGACTAAGCATCAGCGGGAAAAGCAGTTTGCACAGTTACTCGCTGACTGCAAAGTGAAATTCAAGTCAAAAGGGGGGCGGCGGATGGAGACAGTCGTTCTGGTAAGTGCTGCACTTGAAAGTGCTTTTCGCTGCTTTACTCATGCTGCCAGTCACGACTGCGGAGCGTAGTCATTAGATCTACTAAAAGCGTCGCGTGCGCAGCGATTCGCCGCGTTTGAGTATCTCCTCGAGGCGTCGCCTTTCCTGGACTGTCAAAACCTTCTCCAGTGTTTCCAATGTTGAGTTGATTTCCCGTTTCGAGTGCAATGGCAGCCAGAGCATTGTGATGGAGAAGGTTCTAAAATGAAATGGGTGTAGAAGGTGCTTTTGAACAGGTCGCTGTCAAAAGATAACAACCAGTTTAGCATGTTTTGTATTGCATTTCTCATGCTGTCTAATTTTGAGCGCTTGCTTAGCTATTTGTTAAATATTTGACAGGTAGATTGAGCTGTAGTGCTGCCACTTCGCAATGAATTGCAAAATTTGACATGGCGTTGCCACTATTTTAAACTTTTTTCATACATCTTGCTGTGGTTTAAGTGCTTGTCAAAATATCATATTTTGAATTGGAGGAGAATTGGAGGAGACTTTAATTGGCTTCTATTCAGTTTCGGATTCAGTATATATAGCTGTTAAATATTTGCTTTTGTTTCTCAGCCAACTTCTGTGAAGCGTTTATCTTATTGTTAAAATAGCTGACAAGAAGTTCAAGTTTTATTGTGGCCACCTCGTACAGAACTGCAGTGATGGCGTTGCCACACTATTGACAATTTTCCCAGTTCATGGAAAGGCGCATGGGAAAACATATGGCAATTTAACTGCTTGTTAATTGACATTTTTTTGATGTTCCGTTTTTCTCACCTGTGAACGCGCATTGCGTCGATGGCGCAGCGTTGCATCTGCTCGTGCATTGCCATTTCCCAGCGGAAACGTTCGTTATAGCGCCGGAATGCGGCCATATAGCGTCTATGGCATATGTCAGCGCTGCGGGGCGAATGGTGGGCCGTTGAATCGGGGGGTTAAGGGGTTTTCAGAAATTGTAAAATGTATTAAATCAACAGGAAATTGCAATTTTCACACAATTTGATTCGATCTGGCAGAGGCGCCTGGCGGCGCTACTTACTAGGTTGGCTCCTTCTCATCCTGCGTCGGCTTCTGACCGAAGCCAACACGCCTGGCAAGTAGCACACGATACCATTGCTTCTGTAGTGCATTCATCGGTCGCTTGAAGGGATTGGGATTGGAGTTGGGTTTGAGATTGGGTTCGCCTCTCGTATTGCCATTGCTTCTGGCCTCTGTCTGCTGTTTGGTTTTCAGTTTTTCCATTTCGCTTCGCTTTACCGTTTACAAGTTTTCCGTATTAAGTTAGAGATTGCTTCCTTACCGTTGGGCATTTGCCAATGCACTGCCCCGTGGAAATGTTGCCTCTCACATGCTGTTGTTGTTGTTGTTGTTGTTGCTATTGGCGCCGTGTTGCCAGCCAGCTCCATGACGAGTTTATCGAACCAACAAGGCAAATGGGTTACGCGGCGTTAGTTCACCCTAGAGAGAGGTGAGCACTAGTGAGGAAAGGGCTGTGGGTGTGGGTGTGTAACTGTTGCATATGTGAATGCATTTTGTGTGTTGTTCCCGACTGTGGCAAATCACTTGTCTGCAGGATGAGAGATTGATGTTCAATAAATGAATAAATGAAATGTCTTAGATCTGTGATTGAGTGGGATTGAGCGAGTAGCGCTTGATGACCCAGCGCCAGTGCTTTGATATTGTTTGAGTTAATCAAGTAGATTGTGTGTCTACTTTTAGTAATAGGTTAAGGGGTCATGCAAACAGAAAACAGATATAGATCAGGAAGAAGCCACTGTTAATGTTGACATAGATTAAATGTATATACACTTGCACAATTTATGAGTGTTTATTTAATGATCATTGGCTATATGAAATCCCTACTTAATCAGTCTAGCTCAAACTATGCCAAACTTTAGCTGAAATGACAACTAAAACTGTTGTCTCGAACACTCGAATTGGCTCTAATCACTTTCATATTTCATTGAAAGGGTTAACAAACATAAAAGACACTTGTGCGGCTTGGTCTTGGCTGAAAGTTTAGCCCAGTCATATTCTGAATGACTGACATTTGTTGCCCAGGAAAATAGGCCAAACAGCAAAAGTGGGCACAACAATATCACAGCACGGGGCTGGCAGGACAATATGGCTCATAAGGCGTCGCAGCTGTCGCTGGTGTTGGCCGATTGTTCGACTGGCATTTTGCCGAGTCGACAACCAAAAACAAAACTATTGAACTCAGTGGCGCCTGACGTCGTTTATGGCCCGTCGCAAAAGGCAATCATAGAAATGTGCTCTAATTTAAAGTGGCATAAAAAAGAAAAACGAGAAGAAGACAGCAAAACGAAATGTGCAGCCGCTGCCAAGACAGCATATGACACGAATTGGAACTGTTGCCAGAAATGCAGCTAAAATGATTTCTTGCTGTTGTTGTTGTTGTTTCTTATTATTTTGTTTTTTATATTCTTTGTCTGTTTGTGTTGCGAGTTTTTGGCCCTTGGCTTTGTTGGGTCGGGTCGGGTCGAGCCAATATCAACATTAGTTCCCCGTAATGTCATGAACTTTGCGGGCGAAACGTTTTTCTTGTTTTTGCCTCGCCTGGTCTCAGCTGTTGGCAGTCGCGTCTTTGTCAGCGCTTATTGATGCCAGCACTAGCTAAATGTTTTTCAATTTATTTTATTTGGCAATTTTTTCTGTTGTTCTTTGAGCACAAACTTTATATACAATTTATTGGCGCCTCATGTCCTGGCTTTTATGGCCCTTTGCGCTTGCAGGCCAATTGTTTCTGCCCTTTTGGGCCCTTTGTTCGCGTATCAGCCGGTTGATTGATGTTGCAACAAATTTTGCAGCATAATTTTAGGCTGACTTTTAAAAACTCATGCATGCCATGCGCTAGAGCGAGACAACTAGCTGGACACAATAGACACGTAGGCGCCGTTAGATTTTAAATGGCCGCCAGATGCGATTTCCGGATAACAGTAATAAGCACATTTATCATTTATTTGAGCTGAGTTATAAAGTTCAATTACTGGAGGGTGCGAGGTGCATTTTTAAAATGGAATTTAATTTAAAATTTTTGTGAATTTGGGAAGACAACTGTTAATGGAAATTTTTATTGTTATGATAGCCAAAACTACGAGATAAGGCTAAGCAAAGCCGAATAATAACAGCTTATTATGCATATTTCATTAATCGATTGTATCTATATGAACAAAGCTTATAAAATTGCCTAGGAATACGGTTAATGGATCTTATTAAGCCAATAGCTGCAATTAAGTTGAAAGCAAACAGTTTAAAGCTTTGAACTGTGTACACAGCGTAGACAACGACTGACATACTGCCAAATGGGTAAATGGATGAATGGATAAGCGACAGACAGAACGACAGATAGACAGACAGACGAAGTCAGCAAATGAAAGCAGGAGTAGGGAATTGGCGGGGTAAGGCGGCACAACACACAGCATAAGCAAATGCACAATGAGTTGATAATCCCAAAGGCAAACACACACTCACAGAAGGAGGCGCAAGTGGCTGGGGGTTGGGGTCGAAGCTTCAAGCTGGTGGGTTAGTTCGTTAGTCTGGGAATCAGACTATGCATATAAGTATGCTAAAGCCATAAAGCAACAATAATAAACGCGCATCATCATCAGCGGTTGGTTTGTTGCCGCTGTCAGCAGAAAAGTATGAAATATCATCTAAAATAGGAAATGCGTAAATGCGAAATGCTACGCAACGGAAACTGAACTCAACGTTCGCTGATTCCCAGCCACACACAACACGCAGACAACACACATACAGTGAGTGTATGAAAGTCAATTTTTCATTTAGATAACTTTGACATACGCAAACGTCATGGCTTGCTTTAGCCCGAGGGTTGGCGTGGGATGGGGAGGATTGGGCTGGGGCTTGCTGCACATAACGATTTAGATTGGGACTTCAGCTAAGTTCCTGACATGCTGCTACTGATGGCGCCAGCCGGGCACAAAGCGCCGAAATGCGGGCAACGTTTTTGATAAATGAATATTCGACGCTGTGGCACAAAGCGTTCGCTTCATGCATGTGTGTGTGTGAGTGTGTGGGTGTGAGCGTGTGTGGCTTAAATGAAATGTTCACAATTAAAAGCAGAAAGCACAAATCCAACAACCGACACGAAAAGACTATCAAAATACATAATAAGCCGCCAAAGCTGTTTACACGCGCGTTCGCCCTAATACGCGGCGTATGCGCAATATTACGATTATAAATTAAGGCTACCCCCACGCAACTAAGGGCTGTATTGTCTTGAGCCACTTCTTTGGGGGGCGGTTGGCTTAGTGTAAACTAAACATTATAAAGGAAAAGGTAAAGCGCCATAAAGCGCTGCACAAGTGGCAACAAAGGGGCTGAAACCCAAACAGGCTTCAAGTGGGATTTTCATTATATTTGTTGCTGTTGTTGTTGCTGCTCGCCAAATGAAAACAAGTTATTTTGTATTTGCTCAGCGCGCCTTGCACATTGTTATAATCATAAAAAGTATTAAAAAGTAACAAGACAGGCGAGAGCTGCAAAAGGTGGGGCGGACAGGTGGGTCGCGTTTGCCATTTGAAGTTGATTGCCCATTTTTCGGAAGCTACACTTGTTTACCTCTACTTGAGACGCGATGTGGAGTGGCGCTAAGAGGGCGTGCCGGCTGTTCGGGGGAGGGGGGTAGCTTATGAGAGGGGGTGGGGGGTTTCTCAAGCATATTGGATGAGAATCTGGTCGAGGCTTGTGTACAGAATTTGCGCTTACGTTAGCGTGAAATGATGTTCAGGTAATAAACCGAAGCGTGCGGTTGGTTTAGAGCGCTGCACAGGTGCTCTAACTGGGGGGTTGGTGTTTCATGTTGAGAGGTGTTCAAGCACATGGTCTTAAATATGATAGTAAAAAGAGAAAATGGTAAGCAAAAAATAAGTATGTTGGATAGATGAAGCCATACAAATAAGATATGCTAGAAAAAATAAGATACATTCTTAGACAAAGAAAAACATTAAGAAAAATGTTTGTAAATGAATTCGGGCAAAAAGAAGCTAGATAGATCAAAAACTGTTTTGTTATGTTTGATATACAATTTCCGAGCCTCGAGATATAAAAGAAAAGTTACAAAAAAATCGTAGTTAAATTGATAAAAAAGGATTAAAATAACAAAAAGTTCTATGAGGGAACGATTCTCAGACAAACTTCTGTCTTCTTGACACCCTTTGATCGTAGGGCGTGTCAACTCTTCAATCGAGTTGCCCAGCACTAATATGCCCCTTCATTTTAGCAGCAGCGCATTACAAACATATTTCACGCTTTGGTTCATCCAAAACAGCCAGCGAAAGTGGCAAAGTGGCCATACACAGGCATATGCCATGGCTAATATTTTATGGGCGTGCCATAACGCCAGCCAAATATAACGAGCGCGGCCGCAGTAGATGGTAAATTTTGAAATAAAATCCCCTTTAAGTTGCAATCGAGCTAGGGCCTTGGCCTAAACTATAGGCCCCATGATTGAGGTGGAAAGCACAAGCAACAGCAGCTGCAGCCGTTCGCAATACATAATATTTTTATTAAAGCTCCTGCTCAAAACTCAACCTTCAATAAGGCAGCCGTAAAGGTGCACAACCACACACACACACACTCACACCTAGCCTGAGCACGTGTTGTTGTGTTTGTCCCTTTCCATTTCAATGGCGGCTGCTGGACGCAGGTGTTGGCTACGTGGCGGGAGATGTGTGGGACGCCAACAAAGATGCCAGACCGACTTGGAAGCCATAGAGCAGCCGCAGCAGCAGGAGCAGCAGTAGCAATGGGAGCAGCAGCAGCCCAGACGACCAGCATTCAGTTGAATGTTGGAATATTTTTTGGTTTTGTCTGCGCACCTTGAAAATCCTTAGACTTTTGCGGGTTCGCACGGTTTATTTTCATTTTATTCCTTTCGGATTGGAGTAAGGGTGGCCGGCACAAGGAACTGCTAGCTGCTCCACTCGATGCATACCTTTTTGGCACTTTGTTGAATTTATCGCATAAGCTTTTCGCATACTTCCGGGTAATTGGCAACACCATGTTCTACACCTTTGTGCGCGTGTGTGTGCGGCTGGGTATGCCTTGCGCATTTAAAGGCGTTAAGGTGCAAATTTATTTCCACGAAACCTTTTTTGCCAACGTCCGTCGTAATGAGCACTTTTGTGTGCGTTATATTTCTCGACCCTGACATATGGCCAGATTCAACCCAGACTGGCGCCCGGAAACAGGACAACCTG